CAATCGATGCTCTATTAGACTTCTTGTCAAACCAGGCATCTCTGAATAATCCCACGCTAAACAATCAATGTTGTTTCTAATAACTTCAAGCATCATTGTTTGTTGCTCTTTAGACAAATAACCACTTAACCTGATCACTTTTGGAACCAATTCGGTTCCTAAATTAAACTCCAATAACGGGTCTTGTGATGAAGCTGTTGGTTCTGTTTTTTCTAATAAGTCGGGCCAACGAAATTGTTCATCTTCTTGGAGGTGAACATCCAGAATCTCTTTATTATTTTCTACTTTATGTAATAACTGCTTTAAATAGAACTTATTAATAAGAGAACTACATACTTCTAAAGTTGTATCTTCCATTACAAACAACTTATACAGAAATGGGTGTGGCTTTATCATGAGCCATACAATAAAGGTGTTCTTTTAATAGAACATCGAGTTCTGGCCAGTGACTTTATAACCCTTGTTTGGGTATTCCCTGGCCATATACAACTGAGACATCGGAGCCAAATGACTAGAATAAAACACTGACTCTTCCACTTGTTCTGTTACGTCGAATGGGTTGTCATTCGCTTCCATTTTAAAGACCTGATTTCCTTCCCAGAACATTAACTGTTGGTGCAAGGTTGATGGCACACATTGAGAGGCATGAATCCAATCTCGTCCCAGCAAAAGAGAGTATGTGGTATCTGCGTCCACAATAAAGAAAACAGTGGAAATTTTCTTTGGTCCGACCTCAATTGTGGCAACCATCATACCTTCAGGCTTGGTCGGCTGCCCTGTAAAACTTGTCATTTCGAATTCCACAGGGGACAGATCATGAATTCCTTTCCCTAGCTTCTTGAGAGTCTTCAATGGCATAACATTAAAGACTGCTCCATTATCCACGAAAACCTTTGTGATTGGTTTCCCACAAATGTGAGCATTAACATACAGGGGTTTCAAATGGGAGTTCGCACCCTCTGGAATAGGAGGAAACACAATTGAAGGTGCTTCCGACTGAGGCTCAGAATCTGTAATCTTTGCCCACTCTGTTTCCTCTAATTCGCCATCTGCCAAGAATGCCCATAAAGGTTCGTCCATAATATCATCTACCAGACTCGCCCACGTCGGTTCATCACTCATCTGGTTAACCTCTGTCATTCGACAAGGGATTCGTGGTCCCAGACGAGATTTAACAGATCTTGAATTTTCCTCTGTAGGCACCACTTCTTCCTTCGTCTCATTTCGAGATTGAACCGTCAAGGATTCAATACGAAATTCTTCCAGAGATGGATTGATGTTGATCCGTTCACAATGTTGGCATCTAAAACCTTTAATTATTTCATGTGCCATTCCCTTACCTTTCCCCTGTCCCGACGAACTTCTTTTGGTATAGTCGGAAGCTCCTAATCCGTCCTTCGGTTGCTTTCCTGACCAGACCCGACTGGACCGACTTATTGGAGACTGAATGGCCGCTCCCTGCTCGTCGGTCGTTTGTTCTGTAAAGACTCTAATGGACTGATCTCCTGTCAAGTGGTCGGCCGCAGTTTGTTCGTCGGTTCTTTGTTGCACTGCAGGAACTCGTTTCCCATACTTTGCAGCATACCTGCGTTTGGCATTGCGAATCTGTGTACGATTCATACCTGGGAAACGAGGATCTATATCAACGGGTAAAGGCTTTTTATTTCGAGCCCACTCGTTCCCGACTGAACCCGTTTTTCTGGTCGGGTGGTCTTTCACTAAAACCTTTTCCTTCACTTCCACGTTAAAAGAACCGTCTGGACGGTCCCATTTTTCAGCGACTGGCCTTTCAACAACCTTGAGTCGTTCTTCCGGTCGGCTGCTGTTTGGCTGATTCCCTTTCTTTTTTCCGGGACTAGTTTGCTCCCCTGTTTGTCCACTATTGACCGAACTTTTCCTTGTTTCCGAACTTGGTTGGATGTCAACCATTGCAGTTGTTAGTTTCGGAAATGGTTGCTGGTCTACACCTAAAGTGATGTATTTGAGCCGACCTGTCTTGATGGCTTTTTGAATTTCCTTCCTAAAATGAGTACACTGACTTGTAGTGTGTGTGAAAGAATTATGCCACTTACAATATGGTCTCCCTTTGATTTCTTCTTTAGTGGCAAGTCTTTGGCCCTTTGGAATACGAATCTGCCCATCAGTCAGTAGGATATCAAAGATTTCATCAGCTTTCGAACTATCAAAGGTCGGTTGCTCCTTTCCTTCAGATCCTGGTACTGGCTTCAATTTAGGACATACATACGGTTTTCCAGAAAGGATTTCGGCTGCCATCTCTTCTGACTGATTAAAATCAAAGTCGCATGTTTCTGTTCCCATACTCGCCATATGTTGGCCTCTATTACGCCTGTTATGCTGCTCTTCCTCTCTGAACAAAGACTCTAGACGTCCTGCCTTGGATGCAAGATTTGCCAAATCCTCAACATCCAGGGCAGTGAGTGCCTTTCTTAAGCGATTATGCATATTCCGGACCACTAAATTGGTCATCTCTTTCTCACTGATTACCGTAGGACATCGTCCCTTCATCAATCGTACCCTTTCTATAAACTGTGAAGCAGTTTCTTCTGGATACTGTCTCAATTCAAGTAAATCAGTTAAAGAAACAACTGGTAAAGGATTAAAGAATCTAGCGTGAAATGCCATTTCCAATCCTTCCCATGTCTGAATTTGTCCAGGAGGTAGACTTACAAACCATGAAAACGCCGTTCTGGTAAGAGACAAACCAAACAGCTGTAACTTATAAAAAGGGTTATTGCCAACCTCTCCTAATTGTGCTGTGAACCGACCAACATGTTCTATGGTGGAAGATCCGTCCTCCCCTGAGAATGCATGAAAGTCGGGTGGTCGAAAATTCCTTGGGAGAGGGTGTTCATGAATGATCCTTTCTGGGAAAGGTCTTTGATATGCAGGGCGGTTAGCCATCTGAGGAGTTAATCCATACTGATCCCTTAATATATGTGCAATCTCATCAGGATCTACATGAAAGCGTTGATGATCAGGAACCTGGAACGGATCCTGCACAGGAATATGAATCGGATCATGTATATATCCTTCAGGCCTGTCCTCCCTTGTATTGTTCGGCTGCGAATTGGTAACCCTTGGTCCCAGTGGAACATTGTTGGGAAAAGTCAAAGGAGTTTTTCCCCGATCCATTCGGTTGGGATTTGTGGCACTTGGGAATGTACTATCCACGAATGATGGCCCTGCGAAATTTGCCTGTGGTCTGGACGGTGACACTCCTGGTGGCGTTTGAGTGGGTTGAAGACTAACCCTTGACAATGCTTGATCTATCATGTTCTGCAACTGACTCTGTTGCTCACGCAACATGTTCGTTTGTTGCTCACGCAACATATTCTGCATAACCAAGGTATGCTGGTTGTTCATTTGTTGAACATAAGACCACCAATCAGTTGGTGGTTGTGGGATGTCCCCGGCATTTGGCACAATGGGTGGTGGAACGGATTCTCCCACCGGTGTCGAAGATGCTTGCGGTTGTGACCCTGCCATATGGACCCTTCCGATGATTCGGCCGGATCTAAGACGTATGAAATTATCGCCGGAATTGGAATGAGCAATTTTGTCTTGCTCCCACTGTGGTCGCCAATTTGTTGATGTAATTTTTCAACAAAAATAAAGTAAAATTCAAAGATATAGAAAATATCCTTAAACTTGATTAATTAGTGCCTGAGATTAGGAATCTCTAAACACTGTATGGTACAGAAAATAAACTGGAAAATAAAAGACTGAAATTTAAAGTGGTGATCCCCAAATCTGACTTTGCTTTGTTGAAGTTGATTGAAGATCCCTTGCCAAATGATGATCCAAATCCTTAAATATTCCCTGGGAAACCGTACTGAAAACCGTCACCCGAACGGTTACAACGTCTCCTTCTCAACCGTCTTCCAACCTTTCTTATGCTGACACGTGTCCCCAGCAGACCAAAAATTCCCTATATTTCACTCCTTGAGCCGACCACAGACCTTCCGCTCTTTTGGCCCGACTGCCAATCTACAATAGTATGGGTCCGACCGCCAATCCTCCCGACTTGCGAACCATCTGGCTTGAGGTCTTTCCGCCTTGAGGACTTCCCGACCTGAAAACCTTCCGACTTGAGGTCTTTCCGCCTTGAGGACTTCCCGACCTGAAAACCTTCCGACTTGAGGTCTTTCCGTCTTGAGGACCTCCCGACCTGAAAACCTTCCGACTTGAGGTCTTTCCGTCTTGAGGACTTCCCGACCTGAAAACCTTCCGACTTGAGGTCCTTCCGTCTTGAGGACCTACCGACCTGAGGTCCGTCCGTCCTAATGACTTTCCGTCTTGAAGACCTACCGACCTGAAGACCTTCCGACCTGAGGTCCTTCCGTCTTGAGGACCTACCGACCTGAGGTCCTTCCGTCCTAATGACTTTCCGTCTTAAGGACCTACTGACCTGAAGACCTTCCGACCTGAGGTCTTTCCGTCCTGAGGACCTACCGACCTGAAGTCCTTCCGTCCTGAGGACCTACCGACCTGAGAACCTTCCGTCCTGTATTTTCCTTAGAAATAAATAAATAAATTTATTTTCCTTGATTTCCTCACGGTGTCCTTCAGCCAGTTCAATCAACCCTATTGCCAGGCCCATTCTTCTTTTTTACCTTGGGCTTTTAACCTAATTCTAAATTTCGTACGTAACAATTATTAAAAAATATTAATAATAACTTTATCACAAAATTAATACAAAAAAATAAAATAAATTGCGAAGACTCGTCAGTCGCGAGGAGGCATGCCCATTGCCCATTGCCCAAGCCCAACTGCTTTCAAATTAGCAGTTCGGTTTGCCATCAATTCAAAGTCGATTTTTTTTTAATACAATTCATTTATTATTATTTTAATAAAAATAAAGAAGAGTTTAGGTTTAAAATACTGTCTGTTACATTTACAGATTCAATTCAACGACATTATTTATCTTCCATATTGGTGATTTGCGAAATCTCTGCGCGCACTTGTGTTATAGTAGTATATATTACGGCGTTGACTTGCGGCACCGAAGACTTGAGACTATAATGCAAGGCAATGCAATGCAATGCAATACCCACCACCTATATGCAGCTGCATCTTCGACTATTTGTATTTGGTGACCGATCGCCTCCACTGTTTTTCTTCTTTCTCACGTTTGAAGATCTCTTGGGGAGGGAGATGAGGATATGATAGGATATAAAACAACACGCATACTAGGCCAGAGGTATATATCGTTGAATTCGTGGGTTGATTGATGGGGAACAAAAATTCGAGTCCTAGGAGATTCTCATCAGCAGCAGCACCGTCGTTTGATTATGATCGCCACGAGCAAGAGCATGGTCAGCAGCGTTGGTACAGCAGCAGTCCTCACCATCCATTGCCCAGCTGGCACCACCGCCATCATAATCATTCTCCGGTGGGTTACAGCTACGCACAATCCCCAGCCCCTCAACGCCGCAGCCTGGATACAAAATTCTCCAGAATTGCTGATAACTACCAGACCTTGGAAGAGGTTAGGCAACAAAAAGCTATTTATCAATCAATTGATCGTTCGTTCAATTGTGTTACTTGGACTGCGAATATTTTCTCAAGCCTTGCCGATGATCTGTCTTGCTCTGGCTCTTATAACACAATTGATAATCCGATCAAAAAAATAATAATCATAAAAATGCAGTCTTTAATTCGCTTGTTTGGTTCTTAAGCAACGACTCGATTGAGTCTACTCAGGTCAACTTACCGTCGAGCATAAGTTGGATTGAACGGTCAAGATATAGATATGCTTCTTTTATCTCACTATGAATCCCATCCCATCCCATCCAGGTTACAGCTGCACTTGCCAGGTCCGGCCTAGAGTCCTCAAACCTCATCGTTGGCATTGATTTTACTAAGAGCAATGAGTGGACAGGTGCACTTTGTTCAATCAACTTTTCCTTTTCCTTTTTTTTTTTCTTTTTCTTTTCTTTTCTGAATTATTCTTATATACATACTTGTGTATATATATACACGTATATCCTTGGCGATCGAGCTGAATTTCAGGAGCCAAGTCTTTTAACAGGAAGAGCTTGCACCATATAGGAGGTGCGCTGAACCCTTACGAGCAAGCAATATCTATCATTGGGAAAACTTTGTCCGCTTTTGATGAGGATAACCTGATTCCATGTTTTGGGTTTGGAGATGGTACTTTTAACTGTTCTCTCTCTCTCTCTCAACGAACGAATCAAAGTGCCCCTCTGCCTTCCCTTGGCTTTCTGAGTACTTAAGTTGCACTTGCTTGATCTACATTTTGTTGCAGCATCAACACACGACCAAGATGTCTTTAGTTTCTATCCTAATGCAAGGTTTTGTGATGGATTCGAGCAAGTGCTTAGCAGATACAGGGGTTTAGTCCCTCAACTTAGACTTTCAGGTACATCTTCTACTGTCTCTGACCTGTAACACAAAGCGAAGCCTGTTGCAGACTTGCACTTTACAAAGCTGTGGGTGGTTTCTAGGTCCAACATCGTTTGCTCCCGTCATTGAAATGGCCATGGAAATTGTGGAGGAAAGTGGAGGCCAGTACCATGTTCTGCTCATACTTGCTGATGGCCAGGTGAGCCAAAAACAACCTTGTTTCATGTTGGCATGTCGCTTCTACATTCAAATCTGTGAGGGCAAAATGGCTGCTTAATCAGGTGACAAGAAGCGTCGATACTCCGCGCGGCCAGCTGAGCCAGCAGGAGAAAAAGACAGTTGATGCCATTGTTAGGGCGAGGTGACATCTTTAAGTCTTAACACTACTACTTAATTCTTCATCTTGCCAGCATATTTTAATATTTCTGATTACAGTGATTATCCCTTATCAATTGTTGTTGTTGGAGTTGGAGATGGTCCATGGGACATGATGCAGGAATTTGATGACAACATCCCCACTCGTGCATTCGACAATTTTCAGGTAAACATAGTAGAATTTCAAACCACTGAATTTGAGGTGGGTGTGAAGTTCTAATTGCATTTTCCTGTGATTCCCTGTTAGTTCGTCAATTTCACAGAGATAATGTCAAAACATGTTGATCAATCGAGAAAAGAGGCAGAGTTTGCTCTTTCAGCACTGATGGAAATCCCTTCCCAATATCAAGCTACACTAGAACTCAACATATTGGGGTAACGATTTAGACTGTCTAACCATGTGATTTTACTTTTGGATTCCCAATCTGCTGAATACTGTATGTTTGTGTTATCTGGAGCAGTCATCAGACTGGAATTGCTCCTAACCGCGTTGCTCTTCAACCACCCTCCAGCCGAGTTAATGCCAATAGCGGATATAAATCTCACAGTTCAAGCAAATTCCAGAAAAATTCTCCCCTTTCTCCTGAACATGAAACGATGTCACAGAATGCCTCATCCTCTGGCTACCATTATGACAGCAGGGTATGGAAACGCTATGCAGTTTTGAGCACTCGCTCCGCATTCAGGACCTGTTAATATTCATTTTCAATTTGAATCTGCAGTAATGATTTCCATCTCCAAACACAGATGATGGAACAGACAATGCTTCAAAGTGTATATATATATATATATATATGTATTCTCTGTTTTCTAAATTCAGATGTTTTCTTCAACAGGTTTGCCCCATATGTCTTAGTAATTCAAAAGACATGGCATTTGGCTGTGGTCATCAGGTAAAATTCAGTATCTTCTTTGATTGTTGTGCCTTTTAGCTCAAAACAAAATGAACGCATAATGATATGTGCACATGTTCTTAAATTATACTATTTGTTGATTTCAAACAGACCTGTTGTGAATGTGGAGTAGACCTCGAATATTGTCCAATATGCCGAAGCATAATCACAACGAGAATCAAGCTTTATTCATAGGCATGTGCGTAGATACTTGTCTTCAAGAATTCTCAAGGCATTGTGGGGTAGAAGGCTTTCTACCCTGAGCTCAAGGCTGGATACAAACTTCAAGATCCCTTTGTCAGGCAACAAGTAAGATTAGAGCCTCCAGAAAATGAGCATTTCAGATGAAGATACTGGATTTAATTTCGTTCTGAGATGGGATCTCCACTGCAAACACTGGATGCTTATTGCTTGTGAGCTTTCAACCATGATAATGCATGAGAACACTGCGAGTTAGATCACCACCCCAGTGTTTGAATTTTTCATTCTCTCTTCCACGCCAACATAGAGATGAATGGGTGGTGTTCAATTCACAGTGGGTTTGATTGCATAGTATAGGTATAGGAACCCTTTGTATCATGTGTGTGTAAAAATACTCTCTATATCTATTTTCAATGTACACGGTATATGGAATTTTAATTGAGAATTAAGGTCTGCTGATCCGGGCTTAGGGTTCCAAAATCGTAAAGCATCTATATCTCTTGCATTAACAAGTACCCGTGCATTATGCTTATGCATACATACAATCAATCGGCAACATGCATATTACTGTCACATAATCTTACAGGACCGCATTGAGTGATCATTACCTTATATTTATCAAAATTTTCCTTGGCACTAGATGGTTAAACAGCAATAAAGATCAAACTAGCACAGAGTCACTGGCTTCCTAAAAGCAGGGTGGGCTGCTGTTTTATAAGTTCTTCAAGTCAGCATCTTTACTTCTTAATTTAGACAAGGAAACTGCCAGATAACATTCAAGTGGAATTGTCTAGGTAACTACGTCGATCTACTAGTGGTTTAACTGGGTGGTCATCAGCTTGCTTGAGGATGAAAAAATCAGCTCAGCCCTCCTTATCATCCATCAAAGAAGAGCTACTGGTGAGGGAGATCACCTTCACTCACAACCCTGATGATCGTTACCTTGATGCTGAGGTGCTGCTACGACTAATTGAGGCTGCGTCTCACCCTATGACTATGACACAGAAGGTAATTGCCCCCATAGCTTAGCTCATCCATAGTCCAAATAGACACGTTATTAATGCTTATGGAGATATATGAACAATGGTAGGCACGTCATTATTTGGTTTGAGCAGATTCTAAAATTATGCAGGTATTGTTTCAGGATCTTGAATCTCATATTGATACAATTAGCACCCGTGACATTGATTTAACTGGATCAGAAGGACCACTCTCCCTCGTCATCTACAATGTCTCAAATCAGGTGATAACGCTCTCATTAATCTTTGCCTTTTCTTTTTATCCAGTGATGTCAGTTTATCAAGCACATGCCCGTGATTTTATTGTATAACTGATACAATATCGGTGACGGACAGATTGTCAGCCAATGCCTTGGGCAAGAGAATCTGCACGATAAAACATTGTCGTTGCTCAAAGCACTAGGCCATCATAGATGGGATGCGAAAGTTGTTATAACTCTCGCATCTTTTGTGCAGAGTTTCACACTATTTCGGCTCATATCACAACTAAAATCTGATAATGCACTAGCAGCCGCACTTGCAACATTTAAGCGGATTCCCAGGGCAGCCACTGTGCTAAATCCAAGATTTAAGGCTGTAAACAAGTTGATCAACACTATGCTGAAGGTAGCTAAAATCATAATCAGATTTGAGGGAATGTCTGTGCAGCATGAACTTCTGGATGCCGACGTGTTGGGCATCACAAAGTCAAGGATCTACGCAGCCACCTACTGGATCTTTAGAAGCATATTAATGTGCTCTTTACAGTTCAGATACGCAGAACTTGATGATGAGCAAGTGCATGCTCTCTCCTTTTTACTGGCTATCTTGTGCGCTCTGAACCCTGTCTAGTTTTTTAGCTTTACAAAATGTGTTTTTTTTGTTTTTTTTTGTGGTCTCAGCATAACTCTGCAGTCAGATACTCAGATAAAGCTGTTATTGCAACATGGGGACTTCACACTGTTGGCAGTAAGCTGAGCGGTTTGTGCAGTGGTCTTGGAGAACATGTTGACAAGTGCCAGCAGCAGATAGGTAGATTAGATATCTCTAAAGCGCAAACTTCATTATGTACGGCAAGTCCTGCGTAAGCTCAAGTGGGCATCTTTCCTCCTGTAGATGCAAGGTTGTATGACAAGCTGCTAAGTATATTATCAAAGGAGAACCATGGCGACAACCAAAAGACACTGAGGGCCTTATTTGCTTCGCAGAATGAGTTGCCCGTGAGGAATTCTTCAACAGGAGACAAGGTATGCGAATGGGCAAGTATGTTTGAGATTATGAATAAGTAATTAGTGCAAATGCTTTGCTTGCGTGCGTGTTTCATGGCAGCTAAAGCAGCAGCACTTACAAAACACTTGATCAATGTTGTTCTCAGTGTGGTATTCTTGAATTAAGAAACAAGGTGGTCATGCTCTTGATCTCCAAGCCAAATCTGATGCCACTAGACAAGATTTTTCTGCTGGTGCAGCGGATACATGATCATCCACAAAGGAAGACACTAGAGGGAAGCTATGCCATAGTATGGCTTCCGGTTTCATCGTCGCGCGAGTGGAGTGTTGAGGAAAAGTGCAGTTTTGAATTCTTGTCGAATCGCTTGCCTTGGTTCTCAAGCAGAAGGCCGTGGTTGTTGAATTTGACTGTAGCCAAATATATCCAACGGGAATGGAAGTTTGAGGAAGAAGCCATAATGGTTGTCTTGAATGAAAATGGTATGGTTTCAAATACGAACGCAATGGATCTGGTTTGGATATGGGGACTCGAAGCATTTCCTTTTTCTAGTTCAAGAGAAAAGGAGATGTGGGAACAGGAGAACTGGATGCAAGACTTGCTGGTTGCAGCGGGTTTGGTAAGCTAGATGGATGGAAATCAAGAATCTTCCTCTCTCTCTCTAGTCTCTACACACATATATATGTATATATAGTTAGTTCGTTAGTTAGTTAGAGAGTACATTCATGTGCAGCTAAACTGAACTGATTGAGAAATGGTGGACAGGGGGCAGAAGCAGTGAAAAATCAGGTGTGCATTTGTGGAAGCGCGGACATTGTCTGGATGAGAGAGTTTGCTGGAATGATGAAGAAAGCCATAAAGAGGGGAGGGAGAGGGAGAGGGAGAGGGAGTGAGGTTGAAGTGATATACGTAGGATGCAGGAAAGCTGGTGAAGATGTGAAAGCCATAATAGAGTGCATTGAGGAGGAGGAGCTGTGCAGGTCCCTGACATTGAGAATGGTGCAGCTGTTCTGGGCGAAGTTGGAGAGCATACGAAGAAGACGAGGGCGGTTTCTGGTCCGCGGAGAAGGAGATGATAGCGGGAGCATCGCTGCTAAGCTGGCAGAGTTGGTGGAGGTGGAAGAGAATGGCAACTGGGCGGTAGTGATGAGCAGGGGGGCGGATGTGGTGAAACTTGATGACGATGCAGACAGGCTCAAAGAGTGCTGCTTGCTGCAACTGTTTCCTCCATTATGGGGTAAGAAATCAGCGTCTTCGTCTTCATCTTCAGCCTCATCAGGCGCTGAGGGGTTATTGGGTGCTGTAAGGAGCGCCCTCCAACGACGACGACCACCTCGCTGCTGCAGTGATCATAGCCAAGCCTCAGTGATGCCCTATGATCATCTCCATGAGGCAGAGGCAGAGGACGAGGAGGGGATGAGGTGTGGAGAGTGCAGAAGGCGCCTGGACAAGTTTGTTGTGTACAAGTGTGATGGAAATAAAGAGTAAGCAGGCACCTGGCCTGGCCTGGTCCAGCCGGTGATTATTTATATAAAATCTGAAGCTTTTCATTTCTAACTCGATCGATCAATCAATCCATCGAATTAGCTACAGGTCGGTGTTAGAGTATATAGTAAATCACCAACAAACGGGCAAACATACTATTATCTCTATTCTCTGCACGTGCGTGCGTGCGTGCGTGCATGCATATGTCTGTTATGTCAATGTGGGGTTGGTTATGGATTGGTGCCTGCCTCCGCCTCCGCCTCCGCCTCTGCTAGGGAGTGTGCTCCTGCGGCCTGTAACTTGACCAAGGCATGGTACGCGCCATTTTGTCCCAGCGCCAGTAGCTCTGCATGCGATCCTTGTTCCACAACTTTGCCGCGCCTGATGACCGCAATGCAACCGGCCATCCTCCGCACCGTCCGCAGGTTGTGCGCCACAGCCACGCAGGTCCTGCCCACCATCGCTCTGTCCAGCGCTTCCTGGACCACACTCTCCGACACGCTGTCCAGGGCGCTCGTCGCCTCATCCAGCACCAGGATCGACGGGTTCTTCAACACCGCGCGTGCAAGCGCCACTCTCTGCTTCTGCCCGCCCGACAGCTGCACCCCTCTCTCCCCGCAGTATGTGCGGTACCCATCCTTCATCGAGCTGATGAATTCATGCGCATTTGCCAGCCTCGCCGCCTCCACGACTTCTGCTTCCGTGGCGTCTCCTTCTCCTTCTCCTCTTCCATACGCTATGTTCTCGTGTATGGTCCCCGCAAAAAGGACCGGCTCTTGGCTAACCATGGCAATGTGGGATCTCAAGTTCCTCAAGTTGTAGCTTCTCACGTCGTGCTCGTCTATCAGGACGGACCCTTTGGTTGGATCGTAGAACCTTTCAATCAAGCCAAGCGCAGTGGATTTTCCGCAGCCACTCTCCCCCACGAGAGCCATCCTCTCCCCAGCTTCTATCCGAAGGCTAAGCCCCTGGAAGATCATCCTCCCCGGCCGGGATGGATAGCTGAAGTAGACGTCAGCAAGCTCTATCTTCCCCGCTAGCCTGTCTCTCACTCTGAGGCCGTGGGGGCTGTCCGGATCTATCCTGCTTTTCCTGTCCAGAGTGGCCACCACAGATCTCACAGCGCTGCTGCCCTTGGACAGATCGGAGGTCATGGCTCCGGCGTCCGCGATGGTCTTGCCGGTGCTCATCAGTATGAAGAAAGCGACAAAGAGCTGCTTTGCGGTCAGCAACCCCTTCCCCATTAGCGTCCCCCCGTACCAGAATGTCAGGGCCACCGCCCCTAACGCCAGCACCTGGGAACTGAGCAGCCCGACTCCCGACACCCACGACTGCCGCACACTGTGCTCTCGTGGACCCTTCAGCGTTGCTTCGAACAGCTCCAAAACTCTCTGCTCGGAGGAGAAGGCGGTGATGGTTCTGTGGTTCACCACTGCCTCGCTCGCCAGCTGGCTCCCCTCGTCCTGCACCCTCCCCGCATCCGCTGACATCTGTTTCATCAGACCAGCTTTGAGGTAGAAACTGACAACCACCAGAGGCTGTATCGCAATCATCACCGCCGCAACTCTCCATGCAACAATCAATCCCAACGCAAAGGACAGGAGAGCGTTTGCAGACACCTGAACCAGCAGCGACATTCGGTCTCCGACCAGAGAGCGCACCAGGTTGGCTTCGGTTGATAGCCGTGCACAGACTGCACCGCTTGTGTTCTCTTCTTCATCAAACCACCCGACTTCAAACGTCAGCACATTCTCCAGGACTTTCTCTCGCACCTGTTTGGTTAACCTTTCCCCCATCACTGCAAAGTTGTAATGCTGCAGCAGATTCGATAAGAAGGCAATGACGGCAATGCTCAGAAAGATGACGCTGTAAAATCTGGTCTCCGACTTCATTTTAGAGCTGCTGTCTCCAAAATAAGCCGAGACAAGATTTCCAACGCAATATGCATTCACAGGCATGACTGCCCCAAAAGAGACAGCACCAAGACAGCCAAGCAGCGCTCTCTTCCACTCGGGTGCATTCATTTCAAGCAAGCGCCACTGTGATGGAGCTGCTGGAGAAGCCAAGGCGTCTGACTTCTCATCCATGTCATTATGGTGAGATGCACTGAAGGACGAATTGGGGCTGTTTTGTATTGTCGAAAGTAAACTCATTGGCAGAGCTGGGGTTAAGGGAGAAGCTGGACTGTTGTTATGCAGGCTTGATGATATGATCGGAGATCTGTGCGTCATCATTTCCTTGGGACATGATGCCTCTTCTGGAAGGTGCTCATCGACTCCTCCAGATTTCTGCAGCTGCTGCAACCTCACTAGTCGACGGTAGAATCCACCTTCACTGCCGGTCGTTTGCATCCTCAGCAGCTCATCACGGGTCCCTGACTCCACAATTTTCCCAGATTCAAGCACCATAATCTTATCAACACAGCGCATCGTGGAAAGGCGGTGAGTAATGAGTACGGCCGTCCTGCCTCTTGAAGCTTGGTCAATGGCCTCCTGCACAATACTTTCTGACTTTGTATCCAATGCACTTGTAGCTTCATCCAGCAACAGAATTCTGGGATCTCTAAGCAACGCTCTTGCTATAGCAATCCTTTGCTTTTGCCCTCCTGATAATTGAACACCAAGCTGCCCCACCTGAGTTTTTGCATGCAGCACATCATCATCATCGTATAGTGATTGGAACAACAAACACAAACTCATCGTATTACACACACGCGCGTGCACACACACACACACACACATATATATATATATATACATCCCAGAGTATGCAGCGCCTTACTTGAGTATCGTATCCTTGGGGGAATTCAACAATGAAATCATGTGCATTTGCAGCCTTAGCTGCACTTACAATGAGCTCTAGAGAAGCATCTGTCTTTCCGAACATTATGTTTTGTTTAATGGACGCAGCAAAGAGAAGCGGTTCTTGATTTACCAGCCCAAACTGAGACCTATACCATTTTAGTTGAAGTCTTCTAATTCTATGCCCGTCAAGTAGAATATCTCCTTTGACAGGGTCATAAAATCTTTCTAGCAATGCAATAACAGTCGATTTTCCAGAACCACTTCCTCCCACAAGGCCAACCTTCTCACCAGGTTTCACCTTAAGATTAAGTCCCTGAAGGACTGGCTCATCCTTTCTCGACGGATAACTGAAATGAACTTCTCTAAACTCAATTTGTCCCCTCAGATTCGCGCAAACTTTCCCAGCATCATTTTCTGGATCTATTTCTGGAATGCGATCGATAATCTCATAGATTCGCTTTGCGGCAGCTGATGCCTCTATTATGAATGGCACATTGGGCAGAGCGCTCATGCTGGACCTGAGATTACAAGCAGCAGAGTTTAGCAGATCAGAAAAATGTGTGCTGAGTGTGAGTGTGAGTGTGAGCGGGAGTGACGACAGCTTTCCAAGTTGGAGAGATGTCCAAATTAACAACGATCAATCAATATTCATTGCCGGTGATTTGATCATGGATGACAAAACTAATCAAATGAAATGCATATGCGGTTGGATGTCTTGTGTATTGATAGGTTCAGTTGCAGTAGTGCATGAGGACAGACAGACAGAAAGAGAGACAGATACTCACAATCCTCCGAGAATGATAGATAAACCGGCTATGAAGACATGGCCCCCGCTCTCTCCAAGTTCAGCGACGAGGAGGCCACCGACCCAAGACTGAAATGCCCAAGTAACAAATATCATTCCCATACTGCCAATCATCAGCCCCTTCATCAGCCCTTGTTTTATGCCCAGGGTCATGCTTCCCTCGAGCGCACGCCGGAATTTACCAACTGTCTTATGCTCTCCCACGTGGGAGTAAACACTTCTTATATTTGATATGGCCTGCTCAGCTATGCTTCCGGCAACCCCGTAAGCTTCCTTACTCTGGATCCCCATGTCCATCATCAGTCTCCCGAATCCCACTGCCGGGGCCACAAACCCAACGGCAAAAGGAAGAGAAGCCAATGCTATTCGCCATGATAGCAGGAAGGCAACCAGCAGACTGAAGACTAGTGCACTAAACTGAGCCAGGGAGTTTGGTACCTGCAGGTGAAGAAACGAAAGAACAGATAGATCAAGGATAAACCATTTATTTATATAAATAATAATCTGGTTTAGTTTAGTTTAGTTTAGAGGTTCGGAATAACTAACTAACTAACTGTATAGCTGCCTGCCTGATCCGGAGAAAATGTTGGAAAGAAGAAAGGCATTAAGTGAGGACCTTATCAGTAATAACATCCTGAATAGAGTGAGCATCGGTAGATATGCTTGAGACTACTTGGAAGGTGGCCGATGATGATGATGTGCCATCTTGGCAGTCAAAGAAACCAACTTCCTGTCTGAGGACTGATTTCAAATACATAATCCGTATTCGCGATGTTTGCCTCTCCGCAGTTCTAGTCCAGCAAAGTCCTTCTGGAGGGAGGGAGAGACATCCAAAATTAATCATCATCATCGCCATCGCCATCATCTTAAAACATTTTATGAATGAGTTCCTGTGTCAGTCAGTCAGTCATTCTCAATTACATTAATTAAGGTTTCTTTCAATTAGTTCGACAATGAGAAATTTTTCATTTTGCATGCTATGCTATGCCAGGTAGGTAACTCATTATTCATATCAAACTAGAATGAATGATTCCGGAGGGCTTTCCATCGCCTGGTGGCAGGGCACGTACCAAAGAAACTACCAAATCCAACACCGAGGGCAACATAGAGTAGCTTTAGACCATACTGCACAAGTGAAACAGAGAAGGGCATCAGGGCGTGGGCGTGGGCGTGGGCGCGGGCGTGGCATTTCAACAGTAGTGCGATTAAAGTAAAGTCGATCGAGTGTGCAACGGAAAGAAAACTAGCTAACCAACCAACCATCCCAACTTTAACTTGCAGTGGCCACTCAGTGAGTGAGAAAGTAAAAACAAAAAGGCATGCACAGCACAGCACAGCGCACCTTATTGACCACTTCTTGGGGAATAGACTGATCAGCTCTCCCAAATGCATCCATTGCCCCACTCAACACGTACATGCTAAGTGGTCCTGCCAAGCCTTCACCAACACTAGCCAGAGCGCCCAGAAACATCAGCAGCTTATCAATCCTGTCTGCCCACCTGAAAAGTCCACCGTTAGTCCCCATCCCCATACTATGGTGGTAACTTGCATCCCGAGCAAACCTGCTATGTATATCCACTCCAGTGAATGTGGTTACTGCTATGCCTGTGTATGTATGCAGCCCAAACTTGCTTTTCTAGAGCCATTATTTCTAATGAAATGATTTGTCTGGATGCTAACCAGCAACTCCCTATGGACAAGGCCGCCGCACAGGACAGGAATAATAATACTTGGCTCGAATTGTAGGGCGGATGTTGGGATTGTCGTCGATATATATATATATCCATCAGCACAAAGAGATAGGCGGCATCTGTCGAAACCCCCATCACCCACCCATCAATGTATACCTACACACACACACACTCTCTCTCTCTCTCTCTCTCTCTCTCGTATATATAATTGGCGTTTGACAGAGACGATCCGACCCCTTTTCTTTTCCATCCCCTGGCCCGTTAACTCATCTAAGCTAATCTTCGTAACATACGGAGAACAAAGTTCAAATTTTGTTTGTCTTTTTCGTTGAAACTCCACAATGCAATGCAAGAACCCATACATCAATTTCCAAATTATAAAGATTCTTCGAACGGATACGTATCTGAAGATGATGGTGTCTGTTTGCACCAAGTAGGCTGGCTAATCTGCCCTAGCAGACGAATTCTTGGAACAATTTGGGGTGAAGCGATTTTTTATTTTTTGTTTTTGGTAAGTTTCAAGATTTTAAAAATGTTATAAATAATAATAAAAAATTAATATTCCTCTCAACCCATAGACTTTGTTCATCGTTATAATATAAATAAATTTAAATTTATTTATTTATAATTAACTTAAAATTAATTGTATAAAATAATTTTTTTTTAATGATCCTTGTAAAAATTACAATTTTAATTATATTAATTAAATATATTTAAAATTAATTAAAAAAAAAAAAAATCATCCTGTTTTCTTTGTTTTTTTTTTTTTTAAATAAAAAATAAAAATAAAAATAAAATCTAATACTGTAAACCGAGGGCATGGCTCTCTCTCTCCCACAAGCACCGTAAATATACAATCCAACCAACAGTGGCCAGCGAGCGGTGTTGATTGAAAAGCTCAAGACAAATCATTGTTGCATGGTTATCAAATGTCGGCTGTCCGGACCACACACCCGCCATTCCATTCCATCCCCTCCCCTCCCATACGCCGTGTAAGCTATATATTTATATTGATCATCATCTGCCAACATGATTCTCCGACCCCTCCCTCGCACCCACCCATCCACCGGCGGTCCTTAATCCTCCTGGCCAGGCCAACCCAATAGATAAATAAATAAATACAGGTCAGAGATCGATAATACATACGTGCGTTCTTGTGCTGACATAACTAACGACGAGCTAGAGTCATTACATATATTTTACAATGGCAAACCGCATGGCCCTCCTCATCACCCTCTTCGTCTTTGCTATGGTCTCTGTGGGCTTGGCCACGGACGCACCACCGGCGACGGCGGCAGAGAGCCCCGGAACGCAGAACGTGATCGGGGGCATTTCTGGCATTCCACTCGACGCAGCACCTGTTGGAGGACCCGTTCCAAACGATGTTTTCCCCAACCTGGGCCCCGGCGTCGATACTCAGAAAGGAGCTGCACCGGCCACCGCCGCGGGATTGGTGGCCGCTTCAATCCTCGTCTCCTCCTTCTCCTTCTCCTTCTCCTTCTTCTTCTTCTTCTCCTAAGTGAGTGAATAGATGAGTTGCAGAGCGCGTGTGTATATGAATGAGAGACTAACTAAAGTGCACTCCATCATTAGTAGCCAGCCAACCAACAATATATATCATATATATATATAATGGGAAACCAAAGGAAGGGTGGTATATATATATATATATATTATATTATATTATATTATATTATATTATCGATCGATCGTGGATGATCTTGTTCATATTTCGCTTCTTCACTCTTTCTTATTCTTCTTGCAAGTGAACAAGTAACGGGTCATAACAGCAAGCTAGCCACAACAACATTCATCCGACAATATATAGCCATTTAATTTCTCTCATTCTAGAAATTAATATTGCTTTGTTCCGTTTCGTGTCTGATATATAACTAACTAACTACCTACTCATCATCATCATCATCAACTGCTATCAATATTCCAGTCGATCTTAAGAACCCTGGATCAGAAATAATATGATGATATTATTATTGGATTAAAAGCTACGGTGGAACAGTCTCGATCGATCGACACAATCAAATAACAAGAACAGAAGGGAAAATAAAGTAATAGCTTTATCATCGGACATGGACAAGGATCTTCGTTGATCAACCAGAGAGAGAATTCAACTCGCAGTGATGATCAAGGAGAATTTCACCACCTCTCCCAAAAACAGGGAGAGGCCGGTAATAGTCTTGATGCTGCTGTACACTCACTCGACTCGATACAGAAACAGATCAAGCAAGTCAAGAATAAATAAATACATAGAGGGTCGGAAAACAAGGTTTACATGCACAACACAAGGGAGTGGTCAAAATTCCGAAAACCCATGTAACTTGTGGTGTTAAAAAACAACTAGCTGGTGTGAGTGTGATAGAGTAGGTAGAGGAATTTAATTTAAGAGGGTTGAATCGGATTGAATTGGCCGGAAATCAAAATCTGGTGGAGAGATCCTCCTCCTCCTCCGCGCGAAGGGAGGAGATGATGAGAAGAGGGGGCAGGAAATAAAGTCAACAAAACAAAAATAAAAATAAAAATATAAATAAAAACAAAAACAAAACAGATAGCGGTCTGCTGGATGAGAGGCTGTTGGCTAATGGTTGGTATTACTAACACTCAGAGGAAGGGATCGGAGAGTGGTTTGGTAGAACCCGAACCCGAACCCGCGAATTTATATATACTGGACTGGAGTGTATACTATACGCACATACCCATTACATACATAACAATATATGGCAGCTTGTACGACAGACAAGAATATATATATATATATATGCATAACCAACAATGGCGTACGTGGTCGTGGCGGAGAGAGTTGAGACGTCCGTCAAGGCAGTTGTTCAATCGTGTTTTGCCTCGCGGGAAAGTGCCACTAAATAATTAATTAAAAGTAAAAGCGATCTCGGCCCCGATTCGTTTATGAAATTCTGTCATCCATTCCTAGCCAGGCTGCTGCTGCTGCTGCTGCAGTATCTATGATTCAGTACGATCGATGGGTGGTGTTGGTGTTAGTCTGAATCTGAATCTTTTTTATTTTATTGAGTATTGTACGGTACGATAGAAGGAAATACTTAGTATTCATTTAGTCATGGCCGTCGTCTTCTTCATTAATTTTAAGGTTCTGGTTGGGCCTGCACTTGTTAATTGGGTTAGGGTTCTGCAAATTAAATATATTTGTGTGTATGCATGCATATGATATCATGAGTAGCTGTATACAACACCCAGTCCAAAACTATATGAGTTGGTAAGATGAGATGAGATGAGATGAGATAGTAGTGTATGCACGCACTGCAGTACAGGGACAAGCAAGCAAGCAAGCAAAAGAATCTTGTCAATTAAGCCAGCCAGCCAGCCAGCCTGATGCAGACTGCAGTTTGCTTTCACATATGGAAGTTAAGGAATGAATATTAATTATACAAATGCTGATCGGCATATTAAGGATTGATTAAGGATTGAAAGAAGGTAGCACGTGAGGCTTAGCTTAGATTGCATGGTGAATACGTACGGTGGCAGTGGCGATGATGGCGGCGGCACTGCACTGCTACAAACAAAACGAAAAGGAGAAAAAGGGCACTTATATATATATACTCCCATCCTTTCACTGGCTCACTGCCTAGTGCCTACCCCATATCAATATTGATAATATATATATATATATATATCATGCTTATTCAGGTCAGGTGGGTTGAGTTGCATGCAGCTAGCTAGCTGACTCATATATCCCTCCCTTCATTATATATATATATATATATATTATTATTATTTAGTACAGTAGTATTTAATTTACTTTTGGTAGTGGGCATTTTCCTCTTTTTAAGAACACTGCCCCACTCCCCAAAAGCCACCAATTCCTAATTAAAATTTAAGCCCTACATACAAATTAATTATTTAATGGTATTCATCTTCATTATTTAATATTAACACACATATATCATCTTCATTATTTATTATTAAAACTAAATTTATTGAATATAATACTTTTAAAATTGTATATAAATAAATATACAATATAATTAAAATTACAACTCAACAAAAATAATAAATAAAATACAACTTACAATAATATTTTTATTTATATTAAAATATAAAAGTGTTTATGTGACAATTTGAAAAATATATATATTAAATATATATATATATATTTTTATCAAGTTGTCTTGATATTATTGTTAAAACTTTTATTAAAAAAATTCAAATAGAATCTGAAAAGACAAAAACAAATCACACTTTGAATCAAATATTTGAATAATATTTAAATGAAATCAAATTTAATAATTTAAAAATTATTTTGAATTCAATACCAATATTATTTTAAGATTCGAAATACGAATATTTGTTACGAATCGCTTTGATTCGCTTACAACCATATTTTAAATATTTGTTTATCTCACACCATCCAAAGTATTTTAATTCAAAATTTTTATCATTTAAATCTCAAAATCAAAATTTTCAAACCCCAAACAAACACCCAGAAGTATGGTACAGCTTTGAATAAAATTGATCCGGCTAGACAGAAATCAACTTAATTTGCAAAGAAAAATCGAAGATGATGCAACCACAATCGTCTATCGTGCCAGAATTAGAATCAATATCTTCAACTGAATTAGAGTATAAAAAAAAATTCTTACCAAAGTCGAAAACACGAAACTCTCTTAGGAGGGAGAGGCTGAAAAATACAGAACTATCAATGGAGCCGAGAAAACGACATGACTTTCAACCAATAAGAAGCAGCACTTTGTACTTAACTATGCCAAACGATCAAATGTCGACTCGGACGCAAACTTGAAAAATAAACTTGACCGACGATCAATTGCAGATGAATCTCAAAATTAGAAAATCTCTGTTAACACCATAAAATTAAAACAAAAACAAAAAAAATCTCTGTTGATGTAATTTTTCAACAAAAATAAAGTAAAATTCAAAGATATAGAAAATATCCTTAAACTTGATTAATTAGTGCCTGAGATTAGGAATCTCTAAACACTGTATGATACAGAAAATAAACTGGAAAATAAAAGACTGAAATTTAAAGTGGTGATCCCCAAATCTGACTTTGCTTTGTTGAAGTTGATTGAAGATGCCTTTTCTGACGGATTTGAATCCTTTAAATAGCCTTTCAGAGAAAACGGTTTGAACCGCCGTCTGGTCGGTTACAGCAACCGCTGTCAACCGACCACCAATTTCTCCTCTATTGACACGTATTACAACTTCCTTCAACCGTTCCCACCAGTCACAGAACTCAGACCTGCCTCTTACCCGACCTGCCTGTCCACTGCCAAATTTCTTTTGCCCGACTTCGTCCTTCGCCCGACCTGCTTCTTCGCCCGACCTCACTTGGGCCGACCTCCGCATCAGCCGCCCTCCGTCTTTGACCGAAGACCTCCGCGTCTGTCCGTACATCTTCCTTGCCCGACCTTCCTCTTGACAGACCTCCGCGTCTGCCCGACCTTCCTCTTGACAGACCTCCGCGTCTGCCCGACTTCGCCTTCCATCCGATCTACGGTTTACCCGACTTGGGTACACCTTTTTTTTTTAGACTCCGCCCGACCTTTCTTCCTTTTCCCGACCTTTATTCTGCCCGACCTCCAGACCTTTTGGCTTTCATTCAGACCCTACCCAGAATCCTACTGCCACTTACTATTATTATTATTTTTTGTGCTTAACAATAAGCCTCCTCCTCAAGACTCCTAAACATCACTTCCAGTGATGTTTTAGGAGTTTGCAGGCCGGCATCCGAGGCTACGTCAGCCTCAGATCCGACCTCCATCCTTCGAGGCTACGTTGGACCCGACCTCCATTTATCGCGGAATGGTGCTGGCCTGGACGTTGGTCGATCTTGCACTAACATTGCTTCAGCATCTCCCCCCTGACGGAAGTCATGATTAATTTCTGTAAAAAAGGATTCTAACCTTCTTGTCGTGGATGCTAAACTGGCCAGATCTTGAAAGTCGTGGGCTGTCAGGGCCTCGCGAAGTCTGGTATGCATGTTCCTGACCACCAAATTGGTCATTTCGCTTTCATTGATCATCGTAGGACATCGTCCCTTCATCAATCGCATCCTCTCTATGAATTGGTAGCCGGTCTCTTCCGGCATCTGCGTGATCTCCAGAAGGTCTATCAGTGAGACTGTCGGCAGAGGATTAAAGAACCTTCCATGAAAATCTGCCTCTAAATCTTCCCAAGTTTGCAACTGTCCAGGCGGCAGACTGACATACCAAGAAAAAGCTGTTCTTGTGAGCGACAACCCAAACAATTGTAACTTGTGAAACGGATTGTTGCCTACTTCTCCCAATTGAGCCGTGAAGCGACCCACATGCTCAATGGTAGAGGCTCCGTCTTCTCCCGAAAAAGAATAGAAGTCTGGTGGCCTATAATTTCTCGGGAGAGGATGATCGTTAATGATCCTTTCTGGAAATGGCCTCTGGTAAACCGGCCTGTTCACCGTTTGCGGATTCATTCCGAAATGCACCCGCAGAACTTGAGCAATATCCTCCGGATCTACTCTGGGTGGAATATGGTCGAACACTGGAATGTGATCGTGAGTCTGACCTCCCAATCTTTCTTCTCTGGAGAAGGCTGGTTCGGCTGGGATGGGATTATGAGTCTGTCCCTCTAATCTCTCATTCGGCTGGGTATTATCAACCCTCGGTCCCAAAGGAACATTCTCTGGGAAAGTTAGAGGAATCTTCCCCATATCTGTTCGGTTGAAAGTTGTAACGCTTGGAAACGTACTGTCAACGTATGATGGTTCTGCAAACGTTGATCCTGAGAAAGTCGCCTGAAAACGAGAAGGTGACACGGCTGGAAGCATGTTTGGATACAGGGTGAATCTAGAGAATGCCTGATCCAACATGTTTTGCATTAGATTTTGTTGTTCACGCAACATGCTCGTTTGTTGCTCACGCAACAAATTCTGCATAACCAAAGTATGCCGGTTGTTCATTTGTTGAACATAAGACCACCAATCAGTTGGTGGTTGTGGGTTTTCCCCGGCATTTGGCACAATAGGTGGTGGAACGGATTCTCCCGCCGGTGCCGAAGATGATTGCGGTTGTGAACCTGCCATATGGACCCTTCCGATGATTCGGCCGGATCTAAGACGTATGAAATTATCGCCGGAATTGGAATGAGCAATTGTGTCTTGCTCCCACTGTGGTCGCCAATTTGTTGATGTAATTTTTCAACAAAAATAAAGTAAAATTCAAAGATATAGAAAATATCCTTAAACTTGATTAATTAGTGTCTGAGATTAGGAATCTCTAAACACTGTATGATACAGAAAATAAACTGGAAAATAAAAGACTGAAATTTAAAGTGGTGATCCCCAAATCTGACTTTGCTTTGTTGAAGTTGATTGAAGATGCCTTTTCTGACGGATTTGAATCCTTTAAATAGCCTTTCAGAGAAAACGGTTTGAACCGCCGTCTGGTCGGTTACAGCAACCGCTGTCAACCGACCACCAATTTCTCCTCTATTGACACGTATTACAACTTCCTTCAACCGTTCCCACCAGTCACAGAACTCAGACCTGCCTCTTACCCGACCTGCCTGTCCACTGCCAAATTTCTTTTGCCCGACTTCGTCCTTCGCCCGACCTGCTTCTTCGCCCGACCTCACTTGGGCCGACCTCCGCATCAGCCGCCCTCCGTCTTTGACCGAAGACCTCCGCGTCTGTCCGTACATCTTCCTTGCCTGACCTTCCTCTTGACAGACCTCCGCGTCTGCCCGACCTTCCTCTTGACAGACCTCCGCGTCTGCCCGACTTCGCCTTCCATCCGATCTACGGTTTACCCGACTTGGGTACACCTTTTTTTTTTAGACTCCGCCCGACCTTTCTTCCTTTTCCCGACCTTTATTCTGCCCGACCTCCAGACCTTTTGGCTTTCATTCAGACCCTACCCAGAATCCTACTGCCACTTACTATTATTATTATTTTTTGTGCTTAACAATCTCAAATTTGGGAGATTTTCCGAGTACATTCCAAATTGAATGAAGCCGGACAAGCTTAGGTTATATGTTATATCTATGCTGCATAACAAAAATAAATTGTGATATCATGTAAAAAATATTTTATGAAAACTGGATAAAAAAAATATAAGGGTATTTACTATTAATTTTTTCTTTTTCAAATTGTCACAAAAGGACTTTTCTGTTTTAACATAAATAAAAATATCATTGTATATAGTTGTATTTTTTTTTTGTTCAGTTGTAATTTTAATTATATTGTATATTTATTTATATACAATTTTACAAGTATTATAATTAATAAATTTATTTTGTTTATTTTGGAAAATACTATATATGTATACTATATTCTATATTATGTATATAATTTTTTTAATTATTGAATCGAATATTAAAATTTTATATTTATATTTTATTTATATTCTAATCAAAGTAAATTGAATATTTTTATTTGAATGCAAATAACAAAATTTCGAATAACAAAATTTTGAATTGAAGTAAACAAAATTATTTGATTCATTTACAATTTTAATATAGAAAAAAAAATTAATTTTTAATATAATTAAAAATAAAATTTTTTTAATTTAATATATTTTTTTAAAAATTAATAAATAGTAAAATCAGAGTCAATACTCCTAACAATACATTATTATTATTATTATTATTATTATTATTTCATACTCCCTCCGTCCAAGCAAGAAATATACATTTTGCAGGTAAAAATAGTGTAATGACATTTTTGCCTTTACTTTTTTATAAAAGTAATGATGTAATGTAAAATAAAAATATTTGTGAAAAAAAAAAAAAAGTGGAGTATTTAATGAAATAGTTACTTTGTAATTGGACGTCCCACAGTAAAAATAAATGTATACTTTGTAGCTAGACAAGAGAGTATATTTATTAGTATTACATTATTAATCATAACAACTATTCGTAAACCAGTAGATCCTTGAGCGGAACCTACATTAGCCCCGCCTTCGTGTCGAACAAAAAAGCAATATTTATTCTGCCCTAGATAGAATTTTTTTTTTTTGTAAAATCTCATCAAATAACAAACTAATAAAAAGTAAGAAATTAAGGGACTATTTAACTATTGCATTTATTTTTCTTGTTGCTGGTCTTTGTATTCCCTAACTGCTTCTTCCTCTTTGTTTGGGGTACTCCACTTATTTACAAACTTCTTGTGGGACTAATACTTGCATTTCCCATCTCATGAAAAATCCCATTTTAATGAGATAAAGACAAGTTTTCTGAATATGGAAGCGTTTCTCCCATTCTACTACCCGCATATCCTTGAAATAATGAGGTGTATTTTTTTTTTTAAATATTTGTTCAAAAATATTAATATATTATAAGTATTTATTATTTTTATATTTTATATACAATTTTTTATATTTTATATAAAAAAAAATATATATATACATTTAAATTATCTCACAAAATAAATACAGCATGGTATACCTCAATTTAATATTAATTTTAAGAAAAGAAAAGTGAAAGTACAAGCAAAGGAGAGGTTAGGTTCTCTTTGAGCCAATGGTAGCTAAGCTGATTTCGTTGCAGCTCAGCCCCAACCCAACTCAAAGTGACGGGAGGGTTCTTAGAAAGAAAAAAGCATGGGCACTACCTACCTCGGCGGTCGACGGTAAAGAAAAGTGAATGTTCCACCGCTGAGTCGACTCAAGCATTATTCATAATCGATAATTAATATGACATACAAATGATCAATCCTTCCTCATCCGTAACTTGTTGCAGGACTGGGGTTGACCTCACGCATATACAGTAAGATAACAATACGATACAATCATACAATCCCAATCCATACATGAATGAAAGAATGAAAGAAAGAAAAAACCAATATGGTCTGTCTGTGTCAGTCATTTGCGCACAGATTCCATTATATTATTTAGATTGGTAAAGGCAGGGAGATGTGGGCACCTCCAGCCTCCAGCTCCCTCTTTTGAGTGGACAAAAAATGACACACCCCCAAAGAGAGAATAAAGGAAACTTGTGTAGATTGCCATTTGTGATGATGACGATGGTGGTGGTGGTGGAGATGGCAAGTAGTATTGGCATTACTATTGGGTGGAATCCACCTAGACCGTTAACTGAGCAGTGATCCTAAACCGTCAACTACAAGCTACATCACATCACATCACAATCACAATCACATCGCCGGCCGGCGCCAAATCTTATTCCTTCTCTTCTCTCCTCTTCTCTTTCTCCTGACCCCCACGCCCCATTTACAAATTACAATACGCATACGGCATAATACCATATTTATAATCTATAGAATAAAATATATACTCACATATCCAACACAGTACATACTTATTGGGCATATTTGCCTGTGTACCCTCTCCACCGATCACTCTTAGCGCCTTTCCTTGACCTCCGAAGAATATCGCTTTCCCTCCATGGATTCAAGTGGGTTTCCTTCACCGAGGAAGGCCGATTGTTTTCCGGCGGGCCTTCGGGTTCTTGTGGTCGACGATGATCCGACTTGGTTGAAGATTCTTGAAAAGATGCTGAAGAAGTGCAACTATGAAGGTTTTCTCGTTTCCTAAATGCGAAAATAGAAATTCACCTCTTTTTTCATATGTCTGCGTGCTGCTGAATGCTATTTTGGTCCTATCGGTAAAGATCCCGTCTTTGTGGACGTGATGTTTATACGTTTCGGAATTGAACGAATTTAATGATGAAGGCTTGGAGTGTAGTGCGAATAAGAATAATTGGATTAATACGAGGTCAGGGGCGACCTAGATGGCGGGGGATTGGTGTTGAATTCTCCTTTCTCTTGTCTAACACTTGAAACCAAGTCATAGTAGCAACTAGCAAACCCTCTTGTTGTACGTATCAGTAGACTGCGCTGTTTATTCCGAGTTAATTCCAAACGACTATGTTACTAAACTGAATTCCAAAACTGTCCGATCGAATATTTATACTGGTTTCACCTCCACCGATGCTTTTCTGATCTTAGTGTGACTGTAAGTGAGAGGACAAGTGATGCTAGAAGTCCTTCCCTGTTTCTTTTATCCAGTTCCAAGAACATTAGTTGCACTTCACTCCACTCTCTGTATGATGAGCCTGGTCCATGACAAATACTCCCTCTCCATCTTTCGTCCAAAATTATTTCTATTTTTTTTTTTTTTTTTGGTTATCATCCAAATTTATATTTTTTATTTCTAATTTTTCTATACCATAAAAAAAAAAAAAAAATTCTGATTTTACTTGTTTTTCGTAAAACTCGTACCCGGTCAATGAACATAAATTTTCACGAATGAGGGAGTATATTTTATGAGGATATGTAGCATTGTGGACTCTGTGGAAAGTTGAGAGGGCTGTTTCAAGCAAGTGAAAATAAATGAGGAAGTGCTTTCCTGTGCATTTTGGTGTGTATTTTCAAAAATTCTGCCTAGAAATCGATAGTGCAATTTAAGTTCCTGGAACTCAAGTGTGGTATATATATTGTTTACGTCGATGATGGATGCTTTGAAGTGCAGCCTGCTAGGAGCAAGATAGCTATATGTATGCTGGAATCGTACCCTGATGAGGTAGTATAGTTGGGTTGAACTTTAGTTTTCTCCTCGATGACTGCACACATCTGAAGCTGAATAAATTGCGGGTCATATTTTCTCACCAATTTATTATAAGTTTTTGTGACATAAGATGCACCCTTATTTTAGGAGGCCTATCTTAGAAGGAAATTAAAGTGGTCTGTGTGGGAGATGTTTGTATGATGGTGATCAACATATAGTTTGCCTACCTTTTACCAAGAAATGCTATAACTTTGTTCATGGATGTTGTGAAGGCACTTGCAGGTTGCCAATCATAGTTTAATGAATAAGTATCTTAGGAAATGGTTCCAGCTTAAGGATATACACATTCTTGAGTTAGGTTGACTGTGATTCCTTCTTTAGATTTTCTAGATTTATATACAATGGTTAAGGAGTTAATTATTTTTGCTTGTATGCTGTTGAGATTTGATTAGGAATTTAAAGCCGATAATATAATCCACTGGACTTTAACTTCATATGCTTCGACCTGCTATATGGGTTTAGCAGTGTGACTTAATTAGAACATAAAATTTATGTTAAATATCACTGGTATACCTCTTAATGATGATCCCTAAATTTACATGTATGGCCTTTGTTCTTCTCCAACTGGTACCTTTCATGTGTTTCAGTGACAACATGTAATTTGGCAAGAGATGCCTTGAACTTGCTTCGAGAAAGGAAAGAGGGATTTGATATTGTGATCAGCGACGTCAACATGCCAGACATGGATGGTTTCAAGCTTCTGGAACATGTTGGTCTGGAGATGGATCTCCCTGTCATAAGTGAGCTTTCTGCTGCTCCCATATCTTTTACTTACCACATTTGTAGGTAGATTTCTTTTATCCAGTAGCTTTGACTCTCTGTACTTATCCTTAAGCAACAAATAATGAACCATGCAGTGATGTCTGTTGATGGAGAAACAAGCAGGGTGATGAAGGGTGTCCAGCATGGTGCCTGTGATTATCTTCTTAAGCCTATAAGAATGAAAGAGCTTCGAAACATATGGCAGCATGTCTTCAGGAAAAAGATCCATGAGGGGAGGGATATCGAAGGCCATGAAAGCTTTGAAGAAATTCAGATGATGAGAAGTGTAGTAGAGCAATCAGATGATGGTTACTTGTATGGTGGAGAGCTGGGTTCAGTAAAGAAAAGAAAAGATGCTGAGAATAAGCAAGACGATAGAGTGTATGGTGATCCCTCCTCTGTGAAGAAAGCAAGGGTGGTTTGGACAGTAGATCTTCATCAGAAATTTGTGAAAGCTGTCAATCAGATTGGATTTGAGAGTAAGTGTCTCTCTGCCATATTTCTTTCGTTATTCAGCATCATCCGACTATGATATGGGATTGGCATCTTAGATATTCTTCTCGTTTTATTTTTCTCTAGTAATTATTATTATTATTATTATTATTATTTTTTTCTTTTATCTGAATATGGGTGAACGTTATGCTTGGCAGAGGTTGGCCCCAAGAAGATACTTGACTTGATGGGAGTGCCGTGGCTAACTAGAGAAAATGTTGCTAGCCACCTGCAGGTTATTTTCTTTATTTCTTCCTTTTGTCTTGGCCTGGAATAAGATTATTGCACTCCTAGATGCTTTAATTTTGCCTCTTGCATTCACCAAATTCCTGGCTTTGGCTACTTTCTTAATGCTGCTGAAAGGAGAGATCTAAGGCCTGCAAAAATTTCATCCAAGTTATCCCATAGGCATTCTGATTATGATTAGCTGCGGATAAAACTTTTGATGTTACCTTTCATTGTCACTGGGTATCTCCTCAATAAACAGCCTTGAGAGATCATGCCAATTCATGGTTTCAGAGTCCTAAGGAATTTCCTTTCTATGGTTTTTCAGAAGTATCGACTCTACTTGAGCAGGCTGCAGAAGGAAAATGAGTCAAAAGCTGCATTTGGGGGGACAAAGCACGCAGACACCTCCCTAAAAGACACCGCTAGCTATGCTTCCGTCCAAAGTTCAATAACTCAGAATGCATCTGCAGCGGAACAGAACGTTCCGGTGAATGGAAATTATGCTATTTCTGGACAGAGGGCTCTGATCCATAGAGAACCAACTATAAGTGGGGGAGGTGCATCTGGGGTTCTTTCTAAGTCGAGAGCAGAATCCAAGAAGGCGGCTATATATGGAGATTTAGCTGATACTTCAATAATAGGCAATCTCCCAACTATCAGTTTCAACCACCCCTTTAAACAGCTGGATGTAGATGTGAAGCCCGGTCCCAAGATCCAAGTTCAGCACTCTTCGAGTGGTGACATCCCATCTCATCAGTTCAAGCAGGAGCACAAACCAGATTTCCCTGCAGACCACGGGCTTGGTGGCCTTCCACGGCCACTGCATCAAACCCAAGTTGACTCCATGGTCGCTGGTCTTGCCCACAATCCTGGGAGCTCTGATAAACCACCCGAAGGAACAGTAGCTCCTTCGTCATGCCAACAGGGTGCTGAAAAAGTAACAAGTGAAGTTGAAAGTGCTGCAGCTGAAATGTTGTGTGTTCGGCCAGAAAGCCACTTAAGTGATCCTATCCAGATCCTGTGGAACACCTCCAAGAACCACAGTTTGGAGCAGAATGCATTTGATGATCCGAGATCATATTCTGAGGGAAACGTGGTTGGTGGAACTGCCGGATCAAGTCTGAAGGTGTGGGCTGAAGAGCTGAATGACTATTCCTGGCAGGGCGACATGGATCTGCCGAATGCATGCATTGGGAATATAGAAGATCTTGGGTTTAATAACCACGGGTTTGTTGTGGCAGTGGATGTTCCGCCGCACTTGTATGATCCGCTCAAGTTTGATTATGAGTATCCAATTGACGCCACCGCAGCAGCAGCAGCGGCGGAGTACCCTGTAATTGAGAAAGGCCTATTTATTGCAGGACCTGTTTAGTTGTTAGCTAGTATTGCGTTGGGGGTGTAATCTACCACTGAATCAATTAGGAAAGGCAACTTCAGTTGGGTGTGTTCTTCCAGTGAATTAAGGAAATGCAGCCTTCACCTTTATAGGATGTGCGTCGGAGTTCCTAGCTTCCGGGAGGGGAGAGGAGAGGAGAGGAGAAGAACCATCAGCAGCAGCATATCTTTTCTTGTTCAACTTTTTTGATGTAATGGAACCCTAACTGGCCTCATAGTGCAGCGGTATATATGTATCAAATCAAAGGGGATGCTGACATGCTGTGCGCCCAAGTTTACGTGTATATATATACAGTTTTTCTCGATGCTTTTCTCAGCAAAGGTGTCATCTCATAGCCAATTAATACAACTAAATAGGATGTGATGCGATGTCACGTGAGAGAGCATATATATATATATATATATTGTTGTAAGTTTTGGCAGTTTAATCCAACAAATCCTCGATGATACAATTGTTTGTCCACTCTTTAGTTGGATCTGTTAGATTATTTATGGGGAAGTTTCAGAGATAAGATATAGAGGGGGGGTTTGGGGGGTTTTGAGAGAGTTAAGTTTCATAGACTAGAAACTGACCACCTGAGAGAGTACAGGGAGATTTGAGAAACCGAGCGCCTTCCGGTGAGATTAAGAGCCCTTTCTATGTGTCGACTTTGGTGAGTGTGCCTGTCGATTTTGGTGAGTGTTGAGGCTTAGACCGTCACCTTCACCTTGAAGAGGTTACCTCGGCTCATTTCGCACCTTGAGCTAAGCCAAAACCTGTCGTCCCTCTTCCAGAGAAAAAGTTCGAAGAACATCGGTGCAAATCGGAGTGAATCGGTGTTGTGCCATGTCGATGTAGGAAAAAGGCACTGCTGTTAGATCGTTGTTTGGCCGGAGAAGTTCCAACCCCCGCTGTCCCGACGAAGCAGATTCGTTGCCGTTGCCGCTGCCGCTTCGACCGGAGGATGTTTGTGCTGTGCGCAAACCGTTGCCCAGCCGGAGGAGAGCCACCGTCGCTGCGCTACTGAAAATTTGGAGGAGCTGCTACCCGGAGTTTCAGTAGGAAAGAGTCGCTGCTGGACATAAATTTACTTTCAGAGCCAGTCAATTGTTTCCAAGATTGAAATAATTTTTTGTTTGAGTTTGGCAGACTCGATGCGTTGTAAAAAATTAAACCTTTCTTATCTTTTATCTTCGATTTATTATTTCTTTGTGAAAATATAGATAAATAATATGCTAAATATTTTGGTGCTTGGCTATGTATTTTTTGAGGATTAAATTGAATAATCTTGAAATATATTTTTGTTTTTGTATTATGTTTTTTCGGTAAATTTTTTTGGAATTATATCTTTGTTTCTTGATTGTTTGTTAATTGGTGTATTTCTTAGATTATGTTTTAGTAGGCTAGCCAATTGTTGTAGTAATGCATGTTTTATTTTTTTGTGTGTTAAATATGTATATTGATATTTCTTTGTGAGATAGTACATACATTTATGGGAAATATCTAAAAATATATATGTAATTGGAGGATAATAAAAAATAGAATTAGTGTTGCAATAATTGAAATGCATATATTGGATTCTTGATATTTTATACCCATAGGGTTGGTTTAGTCACTCCCCCATACCTTGCGTGAAAATCAAATTGCATCTTTTTTGAAAAAATTAGTTGCTGAAAATAAGCATGTTTGGATTGTCTTACTCCCTCCGTCCTATAACAAGTATCCACCTTTTGCGTCAATATACTTAATGTTAAAAAATATTTTTATATTTGTATTATTTTTTATACAAATATCGTTATATTAGTATTACAAGACACTAATAGAAATATTTTTGCAATTTTTGCTTGATTTGTAATACGTTTTGATATAATAATTAATATCCAAATATTAACACGCAAAAAATAAATGAATACTTAGTTATGGGACGGAGGGAGTATTATAAATCCTTCAATGTTATATGTGATACAAATTGTCATTGATCTTTGATGAACATATATATTACTTGAATTGCATGTTATTTTTATGGACTAATTGTTTTGTATGAATAAAGCTTGTTGTATCCTAAATTAATTATTTTCATTGTGATTGTTGTCTATGTAACTACTTGAATATTATGTATACTCATTCTTAATATACATAATACTCATTCTTAATATACCTTGAGGTTAGACTTTGTGTTTCTGAATTTTCATAGTGATGGTTTTCGGTCGTTCTGAGTGCTTTGTGATGTGCCGAACTAGGAGCTTAGTGTCTTATGTTCCTTTCAGATTGTTGGGTGTATTTTTTTTTTGGTTATGATATTCTAAGTGATTGTGCCTTTGAAGATCTTAATGATAATGATCGCCTAAGATATATTTGTCTAAAGTTAGAGTGTGCAGTAATTTGTATCTTCGCTTAGAATATGTTGATTTATTGTGTTGATATGTTTTAAAGTAGCTTGGGAGCTTGTTTGTATGAGATCTTCATCATCATGACGCCCTCAGTCTCATCACATATTGTGTGCATATGCACACGTACACATAATGTAAGATGGGGCTGGCGCATCGGATGCTGGAGATCTGGTGGCATCTTCTTTATGTAGTTATGTAGGTTTTTATTTGCTCTACATACATACACAAATATACTGGGATCCTCAGCCCCCAATCCTTGTAATAAACATCATGGGTGAAGATCATATTGATACGATCGACTGCAGTACTTCAATTATCCAACTCAGTATGACAGATGGCTTTAGTATAGGTAAAAAAAATGATAATTTTATATGTTTTTTTTTTTTAATGACATGGGTGACGTGAGCGTCCGGTCACAAGTCCAACCTCTACACCAGGGCCAGGATGTACCAAGATACAGATGCGTATATATGATTTGGCTTGGATGAATACAATGGTGATTTTCTCATCAGGGGATCGGAAATCCATGTTCGCCCAAAGTACCGCCGAAGCCATCCCAGAAGAACAAGGGATTATCCATCCAATTCTGGAAAAGATCCATCGTGAAACTGGTTGGCACGAGAGAGAGAGATTCTCTGCTCTGTAACACAACTGAAGAGGAAGGAGAAGAAGAAGAAGACAAGGAGGAGGAGGAGGAGGAGGAGGAAGAAGAAGACCCCGTGATCACCAATTCGAAATTCATGGCGGCGGCTCCTTCCGGCTCTTGTGGAATGAGTTGGTAGTCTTCAGGGGGTGGGGGTGGGGGTGGGGCGGATGAGAGCTGACTCGATTGACGCATGGCGGCCATTTCCGTCTCCATCTCCATTTTCATTTTCTCACTGATCGTCTCAGCCGTGATTACTGAACGCTGCTCGCTCGATGCATCATCAATGGGCTGGTGCGTCAGCGGATCCAACCCCAGCAATCTCATTTTCTTCTTGATCCGCGTATTCCAATGATTTTTTATCTCATTGTCCGTCCTGCCTGGAAAATGCGCAGCTATCTTCGACCACCTGCACCAATATTGCAATGGAGTCTCCGAGACTCATAAAAAGAATTAATTGATTTTATAGTGTATTTGAATAATACTTGTTTACATGTGGCCGGTCTGATCAGACTAAGAAGGAAGGACCTCCCCCTCGTACCTGTTACCGAGCCGGGAATGGAGCTCAATGATCATAGCTTCCTCCGCGTCAGTGAATGCACCTCTCTTGAGGTCTGGCCGCAGGTAATTTATCCATCTTAGTCTACAGCTCTTTCCACACCTCATCAAGCCTGATGATCGATGGATCGAGCCATGCATCAGTTATAGTAGTTGTATATAAGAATCAACATACGTACATGTATATATATATATATATATATATGTGCATGAAATTAATTACGCTTTTAGCTAGTAGCTACACTTATATAACCTGCAAGTTTGGGAACAAGGCGCCAGCATTGTATTCCATTGTTGAGGATGAAGTGGATGAGCTTGGAATCCTCTTCCATGGTCCATGGCCCGCGTTTCAGACCGACTCTTTCACAACAAGGTTGTCTTCCCATGATACATACAGCTAGCTAGTTATATATGTAATTGGGAGCGATCAAGCTGAGCAAATGATCGAGATCCAACAGTACGTACTAGCTAGTGGCAGATGCAGATATATATATATATATATATGTGTGTGTGTGTGTATACAAGGAATTGAAGGAGTGATCCGTTACTTAATACCACAACTTTGCATGCCAATTATGTGTTCAATTCAATTCCTCCACGCCATATATATCCATCCATCCATCCTTGTGAGCTATTAGAAAAGGGTCCTTTTTATATATATTGAAATTAAAGGCAAGAATCTTCCAGCTCCGCACATACATTTGTAAATCACTACCAGAACCCAAAGCCATGATTGAGCTTATTATTAATATTATTACTATATGAATAAATAAATAAAAGAACACAAGAAAAGGGGTGGGGCTATGCATGCTTATATATATATATATTTATGGAATAATTGTGTCCTTTGCATGTACATACATACATACATACATATATATATATTATGCAGCTACTGCGGTAATGATTGATTGAACGCAGAAGTCCACCTCTGAATCAGGCCAACCAAATTAAAGCATACAAACAAATAAACAAATGAGAAAACAGACGTGGGTCGTTGTCTCGACATGTTTCTTTTAGTATAATATTTATTTAATTTGCACACAATCACGTCCGCCCTGAGGCAGCTAAATTTTTTGCGGAAAGTACTGAGAACCAAGCATTTTACAGCAAAGCAGCTTCTTTCATGGGGGACAACTCTTGGCTCACCATCCAAGTTCTTCGTTTAGTTCGTATTCGCCCAGTCTAACTATTTTAATCGTTTCAATATAATATGATTATCGACCATCCTGTAGCGAGCATGTTATCATGGGGATTCGTTGTTTTTGTCCTTCATTTCTGTTTTTTTAACAAATTGCGCTCAAATTAATTGTATTGGGAAATCCTTGCGAGGGGTTCATTTAACAAGATACAGGGTCGTCTGAACCGTAGCTTGCAGTTACAAATCAACCTAAAATACCAACTCAGCCATTCTTTTAGGATTTTCTGTTTCCACTTAATAATACCTGATGGGCCAGTCTTTTAAACAAATAGGTTGAATTAATTACTACGTTTATATCGATCTGTGTTTTGTGGTCCGCTGATAACGTCGGAAATTTAATTGCCAATACTCAGTTGAAATCTACCCATATTATATAGTAGGAGTGGGATCTTATAACTCTATCAGGCTATCATTGAGATGGACATGTTCACAACTGAGTATAGAAAACGAGATTCACAATGACCAAGTCAAAAACCAAACTTTCAACAAAGTCAGAAACAAGACACTCTCAACGGAAGCAGAACTTTCAATGGAATCAGGACAAACAATCAAATGACCAAATTTGGATGCAAAATTAACGAAAAATAAAGTTAATGGACGAGCAATTAGAGACGAATTTGATAATAAGAGGACCTGATCATAAACAAAAGACTAACAAGATAGAATTTATAAACCTTCGGGTTCATTCTATGTTGAATGTATTGGAGAACATAGATTAATAGATTGTATTTAATTTGAGAAAGAAAAATCATGATATTATGTGAGAAATTTTGTAGACGAATTTGAAAGTCAAAAAACCTACATTGACACCATAAAATCATAAACAAAAGCTTACTATCTCAAAATTAGCAGACCTCATGATTATTGTAGGTTGAATCTATACGAAGAAACATGAATTAATATATTGTTTCTATTTTGAAAAAAAAAAGTGACTCTGATATCACATGAAAATTTTTTTTTATAGATGATAAAATATTAGGATGTACTTAAAGTCTCAAATTATAACAATACAATCTAATGTATAAAATTAAATATAAAACAATTAAATATATCTAAAACTAAATAACAAATATCTCAATACTAACACATTCAAGATGCCCATCATTTCTTGAGTTTGAGTTCAAGTTTTAGATATATATTATAGAAGAATATATTATAATTATACTATTCACTTTATAGGAGATATATATATATATATATATACATAAATTTTAATTTATTTAGATGATTTTTGTGAATATAAACACATAGGATTTCTCATTATTAAAATATAAATGTTAATTACTTATTTCAACAAAATTCTAGTAGACTTATCAAACAATTTGAAACAAAATCTGATGAGTTATTTTAGTTTTATGGGATAGTTGAAAGTAATATATTCTTACATTTTTAATGTAAAAAATAATAGTCAATAATAAATATATAAGAAAATAGATATATTTGTATGGAATAATGGGACCACTATTACTAAAATGAGAAATATATATTTATATGACACAGACAAAAATGATTAAATATATATTTATACTACTATAGACTAATATATTTCATTATTATATATATTTAATATTTTTAATAAATCTATAATATTGTAATAAAATTATAAAACTTATAATTATATTTATATTTAATATTTTATATTTAATAAAAATATATAAAATTATCAAAAATTTGGGGTTTTTAAATACTCCATCCATCCATCAAATTTAGTTGCACTTCTTTCGTAAGGAAGTATATATTATGCAATCTCTAAATATTTCGTTCAAGTAAGATTTGTTAATTCAGATTTCTATTTTTCAGATTCTGAATTGGTTAGAATTTTGCAAAGTCCGAACTGAATATCCAAATACCTACCCTTAAGTTTAGTCCCAATAGAAATAATTTTAATTATTTTGTCCTACTGTTAAAAATAATAATAAAAATAAAATAAAATTGTTAAAATATATTTATAAGCAATATATTATATTTAGGTAGTTGTATTATTAAGAGATTTGTAGCATTCTTGTCATGATTTGTATATATGTACATATTCTAATGATTGAAATAGAAAATTTCAGTTTTATATTCTAACGTGGTCTCAAAGTCAAATTCTCTCCGAGTACATTTATGACCATTTATATCATATATATTTTTATATTTTATTGATGTATTTGTTTTTATTCACGGTCATACTGTTATTTTCATCTCGTCTCCGTCTTTACTACTCCACTGACATAGTCTACTTTCAACTCTAACGATGTTAACTCTATTGGGAGCGAGGGAGTTATGTTTCCGATCTAGCTCTGTTGTGAGCGAGCGAGTCCTCTTTTTTACTCTAGCTCTATTAAGAGTGAGCGAGTCTTGTTTTCGACTCTAATTCCGTTGTGAGCGAGCGAGTCATGTTTTCAACTCTAACGGTGTTGAGAGTTTTGCTTCTGACTATCCATTGGACGGCTGTATCACTTTCAGTCAATCTTGGCGAATTCAAATTCGTACATGAAAGATCTCGGCTATATTGTTTTAGGTCACTTCTGACAAACTCAAGTTTATTCGATTATATTTAAGAGATTTGTAGGATTATTGATTTATTTAGGCGATTTATATATCACTATATATACTGATTTCATGTTCATATTCTAACAAAAACAAAAAAAAAAAATTTAAAAGAGAAAAATCTTACAATAAAATTGATAGGGATTTAACCGGTCTTAACATGACATCTGATCTAAACCAAACACGATGGATAAGTAGTCAACAACGAGTAAAGCCATATGTTGCTTCCCGCCTACGACTGCCCACGATGCATGAAATTACTGAATCTAGAAGAAATTGAAATTATTGTTTGAACTCGGCTCGTTTAACAACTTTTTGTTCGCGTTCAGTTTGGTTCGACTCGATTTATTAAGAGATCTTTTTATTTAATTTTTTAATTCTTTTTTTAAAAAAAAACTAAATTCAATATTAATAATAATTATAATCTAATATAATAAATATAAATACATAGAATTAAATATAATATTTATAAAGATATATATACTTATAAAAATATTAATTTATTTTTTCAATAAATATTGTCAAATTTTTGTGAACAAGTTCGAGTTCGTTCTTGAATATATCGAACTAAAATTTTTATTCGCATTCAGTTTATTTAACTTAACAAGGAGCTCTTAATGAATCCAAACAAACCAAGTTGGCGAATTATTTATTTGTCTTAGGCTCTAGTTATGATATCATGGTTCAAAGTAAACGCATATTATTTATTTGTCTTAGGCTCTAGTTATGATATCATGGTTCAAAGTAAACGCATATATATTAGTAAGGTGACTATTGATTGATGTAAGGTGGTACGTCATCCGATATATATAGCACAAGATAGCTAGCTTTGCTTCCACCGAACTATACATTCAATTCAATAGCAGCATCTTCCTTCCGCACACCAACTTCTTGTTCTACCTTAATGTGTGTGTGTGTATATATATATATTGTGTATGTGTATTAATTACTTCACGTAGGTTGTTGAAACTTTACAACAGATGAATGGGTCATCGGATGAGACTGGGTTTGTTTGTCAAAATTTTATTTCTTGATACCATTTTTACTATATATATATATATATATAATATTTAATTATTTTATAAAAAATTACTAATATTTAATATAAAATATTATTTTTATATTAATAATATAATTTTTCATAATTTGTATAAAAAAATATTTTAAAATTAAAATATTAAACAACCATAAACCCTTGTGTGTGTGTGTCACCATCCATACAATGATGCCTCTGTTCCCTTAATCATCGGTGGTGCGTATACATATATATATATATATAATGCATGTTATCATCATTTCTATATATCAAGGTATATGACCGTCATGTGGCACGTGACGTAGGCATGCAATATGCACTAGCTAGTTCCGGCTAGCTTCCCATTGAATTCCTTGCATTAATTGGATCATTTCCCGCCCGCTACCTAATACCAGCACAGCTCGATCATCTCGTCACCGCGATGCATGCTTCTCCTCCTGCCATTCCATGCCCAACTACACACGCACACACATCTATATCTATACCTATATATATATCCCCCCAGCCCTCATCCCTTAATTATAAGTAGCTGCTTCTGAGGGCTAAGGATCGATCGATCGAAACGAGTTAATTAATTAAGGAGAAGGATAGGACAGGATAGGATGGAGATCGAAATCCAAATACTCGGCAAGGAGAGAGTCAAGCCTCTCCTCTCCTCTTCAACCCCAAAGCCACCGCACCAGTACCAGCTTTCATTCCTCGACCAAATCGCCCCTCCCGTTCTCATGCCCTTGGTTTACTTTTACCCCCCGACCCCTACCGCCGTCCCCGATGGACAAAAATCTGCTGACAAGTTCGATCGCCTCAAGAAGTCGTTATCGGAAGCGCTGTCCATATTCTACCCCCTGGCGGGCCGCCTGGTGGATGACAAGTACGTCGACTGCACCGACGACCAAGGCGTGCCCTTTGTGGAGGCCCAAGCCAACTGTGATCTCTCGCACTTGGTGACCAATCTCATTCCGGCGAACATGAACAAGCTTCTCCCCTACGCATTGGACGACGTCCAAAACCTTGGCATGGCGATGGCGGCTCAGGTTACCAATCTCCAGTGCGGCGGGATGGCGGTTGCAGTGATGGTATCTCACAAGATTGCCGACGCAGTGTCCTTCCTCCGGTTCGCCAACACCTGGGCGGCCCTGTCGTCGCGCAGCAAAGGCCAAGGCCGGTCGCTGCCGTGCGACGACGTGGCGAATATGCCCCGCCCCAAGTTCCAGGCGGCCGAGCTCTTCCCCCCTCGGGACGTTGCGGGGTTCAACGCGGGCGTGGGGATCGTCAGAGGAGAAGACCAGCAGCTCGTGGCCAAGGTCTTCACATTCCCGCGCGACAGAATCTCTGCTCTCCGTGATCGCTACTCCTCGTCCGGTTCTTCGGGCGGGGGGGTCCCGACTCGGGTGGAGGCGCTCTCAGCTCTTATCTGGACCCGGTTCGTGTCCGCCACGGGGATGAAGCACGACCCCACAAAGATATACACGGTGGTCTACGCGGTGAACCTGCGCAACAGGACTGAGCCGCCGCTGTCGGAGGACCACTTCGGGAACATCAGCCGGATCGCCATGGCGATGCCCAGGGTGGAGGATGGCGGGGCGGAGCTCCTGAAGAAAGTCGGGGAGGCGATACGCGGGGTGAATGGGGACTACGTGGCGATGCTCCAGGAAGGGGAGAGGCATCTGGATTTGATGAAGGAGAGGATGACGCAGGCGTACAGCGGTGAGCTTGTGGCCTTCAGCTTCACGAGCTTGTGCAGGTTCCCCCTCTACGATGCGGATTTCGGGTGGGGCAAGCCGGTGCGGGTGGCGTCGGCGCCCTGGATCTACAGGAACCTGGTGGTCTTCATGGACACGCCCGCCGGTGACGGAGGGGTGGAAGCCTGGATCAATTTGACCAAGGAGGACATGGACAAGTTCGAAGCCGATTCAGAGCTGCGGGACTTCATTTCCTGCACCTAATTAAATTCATCTTTAGAGATATATATATATATATATATTAAGTTCTAATAAGGCGTGGGTGGCCTGCAGGGCCCTGGCTGGCTGGCTGGCTGGCTCGTGTAAGTAGTACTACCTCTTTGCGGGGCGTACCCAATAAGTCACTCACCCAATCGAACGAATGAATAATTCTGCGTGTATATGCCTATTGGCTATTTTGCACATATAATAAAACAATAATATTAATTATAATCATATGTACCTAACGATGAAGTATTATATTCTTTCCTCGGATAAATTGTAAGTAATTAAATAACTATCAGTAAAAATAAATGTATAATCATATTTTTAAAAAAAAATTAACAAATTACCTGGAATACAACAAAGTAAAAAATATGAATCTTTTATATGGGATGGAAAATATATAAATTACATTTATGAATAATATATATTGGAGAGAATAATATATATTACTATTTGATTCAATATATAATATCTGTTATATTTTCATATATTATTTATAATATATTTTATGTATATTAATTGAGCCAATAGCACGGTGCTTCATTGGCAAGGCATGAACAATGTACTATTTTATATGGACCGGTTTCCTTCCTGCTCAGCCCCGTCTTAACCGTGGACACTGGACAACCTTAGACTCCAACCTCAACCTCACTAGTGATGTAATGGCAGCCTGGTCCAACTTTCACCCTCCACTGCAAAATAAAAACGTCACTTTCTCATGTTACAAACTACATTGCAGCACTGAGTATGATTGTTTCTTAAAATTTTTTGCAGTGGAATCTATTTATAGGATATTAATATACTTATATATCAGGGGATCTTTTGAATAAACATATAGCAAGTACAATGAAATGAAAAATGTCATACCAAACAACTGTAAATCTAGGATATAGAAATTTTGATAATCTAGAAACCTTTTTTTTTTTTTCTAATTGGATAATAAATCGATTGTAGCTATTAACAAGATCTGATAATTACTTATTTATTTTTTTCTAACATAATCAGTAATAAAAATACGACCGATGAATTTGGATTTACAACAACATTGTTGAGTATTTTACATTGGAATCAATGTTGATATTTTCCTATTTTATAAAAAGTGAAAGACTATTCTATTTACAATTAATTAATTTTAAGTTGAAATTTTAGATTCTTTTCTTAATATGATATAAGAGCAAAATTCAAATTAGCACTAACTATTCAAAGTAATTCTTCTGTAGAATAATATTTTTTAAAGATCAAGAACGTTTTGTGTGCTGAAGTTTTAGAATCATTGAGCTGGAAAACTTGTTCTCAAATTAAAAGGCATTAATGCAAAGAATGTCAACTAAGCCTTCCTCACAAGTAGATAGTGTTATCTGCTTGGATGATTGAAAGAAGAAAAGTTATCTGCAACAACAGGAAACATAGAAGGAGCAACCAAATGATATATCTAGATCTTGTTACAAATGCAAAATTAAGGTTAGGAACTCTCCTACTTTACAGGGGTGAAGGGATATTCCAATTTTCGAAATTATCATTTCGAAGGCCACATTGAAATTAATGTTAAGCCTCATTTACTTAAAAAAAAAAAAAAAAAATTATTATATTTACAATCAATGGGTTTTAAGTTGAAACTCAAATCACGACCTTATAAATATTATAAAAATATATATAATTAATATACACTTAAGACAATATATATAATCATATCCCACTTACTATGTCACTTTCTTTTTTTAAAAAAAAAATTATACACTTTAATTTCATTTAAATTTTTTAAATTTATAATTTTTTAACTTTAATTAGATTAATTAGTCATCTGAATTTGAATCTAAAATCATTTTTATTATATATTCTTTCTAAATTTCTGTGTCTAAAGGAGACATGGTAGCCGGGACGGAGTAAGTATTTTATATTGTCAGATATTATTCTTTATATCAAACATAAAAAATATATTCATCTATAAAAACAAAGTAAACACGCCTCTAATTTACAAACCAAACACAATTTATATTTGGGAAAACTATTATTTTGTTCCGTAACTGACTATTCTTATCATTTTAATCTCGTAATTAAAAGTTGATAGAAATCATCCCGTAAAATTTTTTGGCACAATAGGTCCTCCAGCTCGAAGATGCGCACATGGCTCCCCCGCATGTCACATCCACCAAGTAGGCGGGAAAAAAAATTACTAAGGAAACTAGAATGATAAGATATCAGTTACGGGATTAGAAAAAAAAATCTAAGTGTCCGAGTGGTGCCATTACATTTGAATTGAAATACAAGCATCATTATATTGGAAAATTTTGAATCTACTGGGCATGTTATTTCCTCTTGGCTTTTACTTTTGTTTTTGTAATATCAGATTATAATATGTATTTTTCAATATATATCTTGACACATTTTATTGAATTCAATGTGAGATCAAATCAATATAAATTTGTCAAAAAATATTTTGAAGGTAATATAAAAAAAAACCACCAATTCAATCAGAAGTAAAAAAATAGAACTCTTAATAAACTAAAAGTAAAAAGTAATATAGACAAAATTCTGTAAGCAATTAGACTTTTAGGTGAAATATTTATTTAATATAATATCAAAAAGAGTAGCATACCTCTTATTTGAGTTCATCATTCTGTTCGTAAAAATATATATATCCGCGAACAAAATTTGTGTGAGATGAATTCATTTGCATGCGAGAGACGTATTGAAAGCGGACATTTTTTTTACATACTGATTGACTCAAATTAATTTGATTCGGTCAGCATAAATATACAAAACGAATATTACATAAATGACAATACAGGATAATATAATAATATATATAACACATATTTTAACAGTAATACAACATACAACACAATATACTATTGATTTTTAGTATAATAAACATATATATACAACATTATGATCGAATGTTGATTGTTTGAGATTAGTATAATTGTAAATAGAGCCTGTGAATATGTCGGTAGAGGATTTATTTATGTTAATATATTTAATATGGAACTAAAGTTTATATTTCAATCTATATTGTAATACTGTAATTTTCCAAGTTTTAAAATAAAAGAACTACTATCATAATAATATAATATATATATATATATGTTACTCATGTGTTGGTGTATATATTAGTTCAACAAATGCTGAATTTTCTTTTACTCTTTATTTTTATATTTAATAATTCTAATTATCTTGAAATGGATCTAAATCAAATAGTTGTGATTAGATTCACCAATCCCCAATTTACAAATTCAGCTTGCTGTCCTAACTGCTCTCAGTGTACCTAAGGCTAAGAAAACTGTCTTAATCCCCCACAATAAATATCAATCAATCACCCTAAATCAGCACAAAATCATCACTTTCAACAAACTCATCCAAAAATACACACTAATATATGGCAAAGATTGCGTACCACCATACAAACTCCTGTCACCACTGCCCTATTAATTACTAACAACTGTCAACACCCCCCTCATTGTATGCGATGCGATGCGATGCTATGCTATGTACGCTTGCTTACTACCGACTCCACACCACATCGTGATCAAGCAACGATGGTCTTACCCAACACAACTGTAAGCAGCGTCAGTTCAATGAAAAATATTGTGTTGATCAACCCTCTGTCAACAGTCCACCCAAATATTGTGATTCCCCCAGGATTGGCCTGCAGATACATCACTGCATGCATAGAAAAACAGTTCCATTTATCTGTTAAAAGAGGGGTGCGGAGTATTGGAGTAGTGGAACTTAATGTTGCAATTAGTCAAAATGGATGATTCATCGGTCGCATCACAAAACAAGAGGGAGACTAGTAAGCGATTGCTCGACTCGGGTGTTTGATCATATGTATGAATGCGGGGGCAGGGGTAGAGCAAGCTTAACAGTGTACCTAGAGCCAATCTCTTGTGGTATGATGACATATACGATGCCAACTGGGTGTTTGTTGTCCCAGTCATGAAATCCAACGACTCCAAATCGCTCTCTGAGCTGTCAATGTGGAGCTTATTATGATGTGGTGCCTCTGAATTCACGACGACGCTGCTGCAAGTTCTAAACAGAGATCCATCAGATGTACTGCATGTAACCAAAGCATGCCATCTACATGCCATTGCTCCAATCCCTTGGGCTCTATGGGATATTTTTGCAGAAGCATTCAAGCAGAGGATTATGCCCACCACCTGAACAATTGAGGTCACCTAGAAAGAACCGACAAACAAATGCAGCAGAAGATTATCAAACTCAACAGCAAGAGGAATAATTCAACTACTGTAAGCAGTGTTTCGACAATGCATGATCCGAGTAACTCACATATACTTATACATACATATATATATATATGTTGATTATTAACTTACAGCATAATCACCCCCATTGATCAAAGTAATCATTCCATTATATCCAGTGATCTGGAATAGAATCACAAACTGGCTGATAGTGACTATAAAAAACTGTAAAAGAAGATATATTCGAAATCTGTGGCTTATTTTGGAGAGGTAATAGCGGAGGCGAGCATGCTCTTGCAGCAATACTATGGCATCAGTTTCTGTTTCCAAAAGCTTCCCATAGTCCTCAAAATGTAAAATTTGCAAACTGCAAACAGCATGGAAGATGGCACTGGCTGAAAGAATGATAGTTGTCACGTATGTCCATGAGAACACAAAACCACACAAAATTATGGCGGATTGCCACCATGACTCGTGATGAACATACATAATTCTGATGATTTCACGGACAGTCTTCAAAAGGCAACATGGCAACACCCATACCACTACCAAGCGCATTGATTCCTGCAGAAATACAGAGGTCCGTCATCATCAAGCATTCCATGGAGTCGGTCTGTTGCTCAATGCGATGCATATAAATATCTTAGGAACAATGTCAGATCCCAATTAGTGATGAATTCAGAGTGGAATTGAAGAACAAAGGAATAGCGCCGAAGGATACATCCCACCAAGATAACTGTAATCCAGAATATACAAAGTCAAAATCGACCGGGTAATCATCAGGGAAACCATGGGTGATTCAAACATGACTAGGGAAGGGACCTTGACACATTTAACAAAGATCTGTTGAAAAGATAAAAGAAGGAAAAAGAAGGGAGACTAAAAGCTGAATTTCTGAGAAGAAAAACTGCGCGACATATTTGAAATATACAAAAAAGAGACGCGCATGCTAGAAACATCAAATTCCACATCGAGCCTGGTACTCTGCTGACTGCTTATTAATCAATCAAAATCGCTAGAAAAACATAAACTGGAGTGTGCTGCTCACCGAAATCTTCCGTAGGTAATGGCCACTGAACTTGTCCGCATGTCCACTGTACCGATCAACGAACAGAAACTTCCTCACGCCATATTTTCTCAGGTTGTGGGAAAGGCATAACAAAGATGCGGCAGCCAAACAAGCCTGAGAAACCACCATACCGATCTCAAAACTCCTGATTTGTCCCTTTTCACAGCCTTGGCAATTAGAGAGCTCCAATATGACCACCGGGAGCAAAACCCCTATGACCAGAAAAGCTCCCGAGGAAACAAAGAACTTCCACACAGAGGACTGGTTGAATCCCAAGAAAGAAAGAAAAAGATCTAATCGTTGAAGGGTTTTATCTAAAAGGCTTTCCTCTTCTCGATGATCATCCGCAGGAATTGATTCTCGGTTCTTGAGGAAAGGGGCGTTTTCGGGTGGGACGCTAGATTCCTCCACTTCGATATGTATGTGACTTCCGACTCCGGCCATGGACAGAGAAAAAGTAGCCGACCTAACCAATCGGTTGAAGAAAAAAACAGCTCTCGCTTGACAAGTATTGGGAATGCCTAGGAAAGGAGATGGCGGTCTAACACGCTAAAACAAGCTCTTTAATGAGTGTCTTAAGAATGAGGCTTGAACGTGAGTTATGACGGTAATTAATTATTGATTGCTTTGAATAATTGGTAAGGGTTGCCGAACAAATAACTAATATATGGTATTGGTAGCAGCCAGACATTGATATAGATTTTGTCCCAGTGAGATGGATGTCGTTCCTGCTCCTGCGCCTTCCCCACCAAAAGAGAGCAGCTCTGTCTGTGTCTGATCGAGCTATGCAACTGGAGGCAGGCAGAGAAGTTCACTCTTTTGAATTGTCATATGATGTGTTCTGGCCGTGGAGAAAACAGTCACCGATGCTCGCCCCGTGTCAATGTGTCAACCTCTATGATCAATCATTACTGTATCCTTAGCTAGCCGTGGCACGCAACGCGAGCGACGCAACACAGAAGAAGAAGAAGAAGAAGAGGGGATCTACCATGGCTATTAATGTAGCAGTGATATATTTGAGGCGACAGGTAAAGGGTATCTTTCGTTTCGCTGCGCTATGATGAAAATGGAAATAAAAGGAAAAGAGACATCACACAAAAATAAGCAGAAACTTTTATTGCCTGGGTCCTGTGATGTGAGCCCTCCACCCCACCAGGCACCAATAATATTGATACACGTGTCCCCTAATGAATGGTCCTGTTATGACTTCAAATTTGAATGCCTTCAAATTTTTTTGTCTGTCAAACGTATTAGCCAGTGCGATTTATTTTGTCGAATTTTGTTTGCAGAAAATTACATTCGTTCGAGATTTTTTGTCTGTCAAAGCCAGTGTGATTTGCTTTGTCTAATTTTGTGTGCAGAATATTAGATTCGTTGGAGATGATTGTTACTTTATAAAATAAATAAATAATATTAATATACGTGCTATATATGCTGACTGGCTGATGATGGAGAGAGACTGTAATATCCACGGATACCACCGCAGCTCGATGCCACCCGATGGCTATGAGCATTCTTGTTGTTGCTGATTATGGGAGGATTATAATAAAGATAGATGGATGCAAGCAGCTTGGTACCACGACGACCAGAAATATGTAGTTGTGGCACTCTTTCTTCTCTGTTTTGCATTTCTTCCCCTTCAAAACTTTTTCGTTTTGCACTTCTCCTTCAATTTCTCTGTTCGTCGAAGGTGTCGGCCGCCTGCCGCCTGCGTTGATAAGGGTTGAAGGAGGTGGGTGTTGGGGGAAAAAATGGAGTTAAGGTTCGTATTGCGGAAAAAATTAGATTGAAAAAATTTAGAAAATAATCCAAATTAATTATATTAGTAGCCAATAAATTTAAATTTTATAAATATAATATAAAATTAATATATTGACTTAATTGTTAGTTTGAATTTAATATAGATTTGTTTTGATTAATTAATTATTTAAATCTTGTTTTTTATTGTATTTAATTTTATATTTTAAAATAATAAGTAAATTTATTATTTAAAATTTTATTATTTTTTAAAAAATATATAAATTTCTATTTATATATATATATAATTATATAAATCGATATTTGACTGATAAACTGTACCAATATACCTTAACGTATCCAGAACGATATAAGCTGCAACAACAATCCGCGACCGTGAACTATGTCCATAACCATCCTGCAACCGGTCAATGATCATGGCAATTGCAGTGAAAATATTTATATATGGGGGATGCCAAGCACTTTCAATTGCCGTTCGTGCCGTGGAAGTAAAATTTGGTAAAATCTCTCTCTAATTGAAACTCAAGGTTTTTTTCTGAGTGTGGAAAATAAACAAGACAAATGATCAGTTTGGGACCAGATCCTTAACCAGGGATGGGAGGGGAGAAGGCTAAGGATCTCACCGGAGTTTATAAAAAAATTGCTACCAATATTTGATTTGGGATTTCAATTTAAAATCATTAAAATGAAGAACTTATAAGTAATAGAAATTCCCCTATTTTTCCTTGATGATAATATTCAATGCTTCTTGATATGATAATAAAATGATAATCCTGATAAATATTCAATACAATCATTATAATTTTGATACTTATGTTAAGAATGGATTCGAAATTTTAACTCAAAATAAATTTTACCCACTCTGTTATTCAAATTTTTGTTCACTTTCGTTTTAAGGTTGTTATAAAAAAAATATTCTCGTTTCTTTTTTCCGAAGAATAGGAGACTTCCTATACCCATAAATTTATTGGGTTTCAGTCCCTATTAAAAAATTTTAACTCTGCACTGCCTACTTTTGATATATATGTGCAGTTAACTTCTATCTCTAATTTTTCTTTTTATATCATTTCTTGAACCCAGCATTCTTTCTGGAAGCTAATTTCTTTAGCGCAGAAAATATTTTTCTTCTTTCCCGTCAAGTTGTTGGTTGCCATTGTGAATGGACGCAATTACTCTGATCCCGACAACATTGCCACAAACATTTTTCAGTCAAATGCCACCACCGAACTTCGACGACGAGCAGTAGATTTTACCGAGCTAATTGGCCTACCATCAATGGCCCCTTGGTCTCTCACCCTTCAGATTCTTTAAGTTGGGGTTTTTGTTCCTGCCCGTTGGTTTGGGGGCATAAATTGCTTCTATTTCTGATTCATCCTTCGTTGTCCCAATTCTTACCTTAACAAGATGAATATAAATCTTCTTCTTGTAATTACATGTGTATTTACATATGAGATATTGTCTTCTTGAACAAAAAAAAAAAAAAAAAAACAATATTTTTGGTTGCATTAGAAGAAGACAAAATTATGTTTTTTGTATTTATTTGGAAGCCATTTTTAATTCGTTGTTGTTGATTCCGTTTTCACCAAATCAATTTATTGTCTTGATTAGAGTTGAAACTCACAGATGAAATACATACACAAAATAATTAATGTTTTTTTATTTAATTTATTTTTAATTTTATACGGGGAAGTTAATGACTGAGTAAGAGCATTGTTGCATTGAAGTTCCTTTGTAAATTTGATGTAATGCCGTAGATGAACAAAAATTATGAGTATGTGATGATGAATTATTATATATGACTTGTTGACGACAAAGATTCTTAGAAACTTAAGAGAGGTATATGAATTGTAGATTAGTAAATTTTATCTATTTAGAAGAGTACATAGCGTATTACTCACATCAAAATTGGAATAAACTTAAATTAATTATTTTACCATATGACAAAAAGAGAATGTTACATTATGTTGCATCCGTTAGATTCATACATAGAAGATTATGATTTTTTTTGTACTTGTTGAAATCTATCAAGTTTACTCTAGGTCCTTGAGTACATTCACATTTATTTAAAGTAGTAAGTACACAATTATCCACCGATATCATAAGGTTGCATTCTTTATTTACATGAAAATGGAGCTTGTGTACATAATTCGGTAAATATTGGTACATTAAAATAAATAGGGGGTACATCAGACCTGCGCTAGAGTTCTTGTCTGTTCAACTGTATTATTTTTAAAATGCTTTTGACTTGTTACTTGAGTCTGTGAGTGTCCGGCAATTTGGATTACTATGTTATGAGTCAAAATATTTAAGAAGAGAAGTTTTGTTCTACTATGTTGAAAACACTCGAAGTCTTAGTAGTATATTACAACTCGTCCTTTCAAGTAAGTACTAACATTTGTCTTGTGTTACTCGTGAGAGTGAATTTAAGTTACATCAATTGTTAATTAATTTTGTAGCATCACTCATGTAGCCTAATAATGAAAAATATTTTAGCTAATTCGTTTATGACTTTTTAACATTCATAAGTAAAAATTGAATATTTATTGAATATGTATGATGGTGTTCCCCCAAAAATGTTATTATGGTTGTTTACCTATCCGTTACAATTCAGGGAGTCGCGGGAATATTATTATATGATAAATTCATCCATGATTACCGATAGCAAGTGAATATTTCGAACCGAAAATAGTTGGTTTTTCAAGCATAGGTTACTAGGGTATATGTACATTTTATTGAAGCATATGAAACTATTATTATAAGTACGTAAGATCTGCGTCAATGTATATCGGTATTTGATACAGGTATGTAAATATGTGCTCCGGGTACAAACACCGACGTTCAAGGTATGAATGATGTTTGCTTAGGTATTATCTATGAGGTAACGGGTATCCTTAAGTGTGGTCGATTTCAGTCAATCCTCTGTTAGAGAAGGTAGTTAATAGACTCGGTGAGAACATTTCTTCTATTAACCCCGCTGGAAAGGTTTGTTCATAATACGTTTACATTCAGCAACTCATGCCACACTTTTCAATGGCAAAAGCATAATGTATGTAACACTATTCGTAATTTTCTTATGTGTCATATGTATCATCCCTCCTGCATTTTAGATTCTGCATTAAATTGTTAAGGCGAATGAATAATAATTCCACTTTAAAACAATGTGTATCAGATGAATTATAGGTATGTGTAAAAACCATAACCGATCAAAACAACACTGCATGACTACATTGATAGCACGTCTGAGCGTATATATTTTAAGTTGAGCATATATGCATGAGTATGAATATTAAGTTGGTATACATACTGAAAGTATATTGTGAGCATTTAGCTAATACATTCTAATGGCTAAAAACTTCTTGCACAATGATAACCTCGGATAGAACATTTAGTCTAATACATTCTAACGTCTAAAAGCTTCTCCATTGAATTTTTATAAACGTGTACTCTTTGCATTTTAATACTCTCTAGGAATAAATAAGAATATTATTATGTTGAATTTATCATCGATTACCACTAACAATGGGGTATTTGATGCAAAAAAAATAATCGATTTTTCAAGTAGGAGTTTCCCGGGCATATATACTCATCACGAACCCATATGACACCTTATTATAGGTACGTAAGATCTGTGCCCGAGTATGACAATATTTGATGTAAGTATATAGTATGTGCTCCGGTACAAACACCACATTCAAAGTATGCATGATGGTTACTTATGTATTATATGTGTAGTAGCGAGTATCTTAATTGCGGTCTATTTCAGTCAATCCCTGACGGTGGAGGCAATTAAGGAATCCCGTGAGAACACTTAATCTATTAACTCCGGTGGAAAGGTTTATATGTAGATGTAGCATTCGTTATACTCACTTTCTATTTTATATATTTTTTTATTTATAAATATTTTCTATAATTATAAATAAATCGATTATGTATTTCAAATATATATTTAAAAATATTATATGATAATTAAATTAAATATTACTTCTTCCGTCCCAGATATCGTGTCTGCTACACTGTAGACACGGTATTTTAGGAGGGGTGTAATTAGTAGATAATTAAAAATGTATTAGTGAAAATAATTATCTTATAATATAAATAATTATAAATTAAGATTAAGATAATTAATTAGTTTAATTAAAATTAAAAAAAAATTTAAAATTTAAAATGAGATTAAAGTGTGTAATCATTTTTCAAAAAAGGAAAGTGACATGGTATGTGGGACGGATAAAAACGGCAACGTGGACATGATATCTGGGACGGAGGGAGTATGATATTATATTTTAAAATAT